CCTCCTCAGCTGCTATCCAGTATGAAGCCAAGGGTCCCGAGACCGCCTTGGCGTGAGTGCGAGGGATCGGGATGCCAAGGGCGTTTGATCCTCCTCAGGGGCAAGCAGCATGGCGCAGAGATGAGGAACAGCGGCCGCAAGGAAACCAAGCTCGAACTGCCTATCCTCCAGGACCTCCAGGAGAAAGACAGGAGCACCCCTAGAGGACGGAGAACGAGTAGGGCCACTCACCAGATGAGCGGCGTAGTCAAGGCGGTGGGAAGAGGCAAAGCCAGCGACAGTGGTAACAAGAGCCGAGACAGACAACGGGGGGGCAGTTGGATGAGTGACCAACGAGGACAAAACACGGGACACGACAAGACGGGAGGCACGGATGCAGTCGGACAACGGGTCGTGAAACACAGTAAGGGACGACTCAGGAGGCTGTGGAAGGACAGGAGGAGGTGGAACACGAGAGCAGAGAACAAGGTGAAACGGCCCGTTCGCACGGTAACGGGACCGACGAGGCTCTAGAGACACAGCACGACTGAGGGGAGAACGACGAGTCCACGGGTACGAGGAAAGGGACCCGACGGGAGGAACAGGAGGGGACGGTAGACGACCACGAACCAAGCGTGCAGGTGCAGGGATAGGCAAGTCGCGCAGTTGCTGCTGCTCCGCCTCCCCTGGCGTCCGCTGCGACAGCACCTGCCCTTGCTGTTGCTCCTGTGGCTCCTCCTCTGCCCTCTCGTACTACGGCTGCTGCTGCACCTCCTGCTGCGATCGGGACTCCTGCGCTACCCTCTCCTGCTGCGGCCATGACTCCTCCTCTACTCTCTCCTGCTGTGTCTGCAACTGCACCTGCTGCTGCGGGCGGGACGCCTGCTCTACCCTCTCCTGTTGCGGTGGTGGCTCCTCCTCTACGCTCTCCTCCTGCGATTGCAACTGCACCTGCTGCTGCACTCGTGACTCCTCCTCTACTATCTCCTGCTACGACTGTAACTGCAACTCCTGCTGCGACCAGGACTCGTGCTCTACCCTCTCCTGCTGCGGCGGTGAATCCTCCTCTATGCTCTCCTGCACCTGTGACTGAGACTGCTCCTTCTGCTGTTGCTACTGCCGTGCTTTCTCAAACCGCTCACGCTCCTCCCTCTCCAACCGGAGGAGACGCTGCTCACGGGTCAGGAAACGTACAGTGCACAGTGTAGGCGCCACAGTGCCAGTGATTCCAGCTCCAGCACCCCGAGAACCAGCACCTTCACTACCGACACCCTCGGTGCCTCCCGTACCTCCCGCAGGAACAACCCCAGGCTCCATAGCAAGCGGCTGCAGAGAAGAACGAGGAGGGAACTGCGGGACGGACGGGAAGCCAGGGGTGACGCGGGGCGAGGCTGCCGAGTCGAGGCTGCCGTATTCTCCACTAGAGTAACCTCTACGCTCACACCCCCTGCACCCCCAGAACCAAAACCACCAGCTCCAGCAGCCCCAGCACCCTCACCCTCCGCAACTGCACCTCCCGCACCCCCCAGACACGACAGGGCCTGGACACTGTGGGGGGGGCGACTGCGGAGTGACGTGCGACACACCTGACAGGGCAAGACGCGAAGGGGGGGGGGGGCTACCAGGGCGACTGGGGGGTGCTCAAGGGTGCGGAACAGCGGGCGGGGAAAGACCTCAGTACTTCAGTGCAGGCGACTCCTTTAGTACCACACAGACTCATCAAACGTGACGTTCTGGGAACTGAAGAACTTGTAGGTGAGTGGGTCGTAGAATACCCAGCCGGCGGCGTCCAAAGGGAAGCCAAGAAAGACGCAGGCACGAGTGCGCGAAGACAACTTGTTCGCTCCAGGGGTGCGAACGTGAGCCAGAGAACCCCAGACGCAGAAGTCAGCTGATACGCTCGGAGAACCTGTCCAAAGGAAGACCAGCGTCACCCATGGCCATGCGTCACTCGGCCACAGGTTCAGCTGTTGCGTGGCGTAGCGGACTGCCTGAGGCCACAGGAACTGGGGGGCAGCGACATGGCACATGGAGGTCCGGGCAACCTCCATGACCAGGCCGATGTGACGCTCGGCTAATCCGTTCTTCTGCGGCGAGGCTGGTAGCGTGTAAGACTGGATGATCCCTCGACCCTGACAGAACGTCTCCTGGCAAGTGGAAGAAAACTCACCACCACGGTCCGAGTGTAGGCGGAGCCCACACAGGCTTTGGGCGCCACCCCACGCTAGTAGCCACGGCGGTAGGCATGTCGGCATTCCGTCGCAAGGGGAAAACCGTGGTGTAGCGAGAGTAGTCGTCCACCACAATCAGGAAGTAGCTCCTGTCGTGGGCCAAGGTCCGGGGAGGAGCCCCAGACGTCCAAGTGCAGGGTCTGGAAGGGAGCCGTGGTGGGGGGGGGCGAGGAGGAGTGAGGGGCAGCGTGCTGTCGACCCTCGACGCAAGGAGTGCACGGTGGCGCAGGTGAGCGAGAAAGCGGGGCAAGCGACTCTGGGAGACCTGAGACCAGATGGTGACGTACCTTCCTGCGGAGACGTGGGAACAACGGGTGACCTAGACGGTGGTGCCAGAGTACCGACGGTTGGGTGAGGGACCGGCAGTCGCACGACACAGCAGCTACCTGACCTGACCTGACCTGACCTGACCCAGTGTGGTGGGACCCAGTGTGTAGTGAGTACAGACCAGAGCCCGGCTCCCTGTTGAAAATGGCCAGAGGCGCCCCAGTGACACTGACTGTGCAGGAGGCAATAGGCTCGTCTTGTAGGAAAATAGTGACTACACCTAGGTCGTGGAGGTGACTGACACCCACCAGATTCCTGGAGAATGAGGGGGTGTAGTAACCTGTCAGAAACCCAAAAGGAGCTGCCGGACACGGGAGGGTGATGGTGCTGTGGGCAACGATAGGTCCCACGGAGGGGTCAGCCAATGCGACAGTGACTGGACTGTGCAGTGGCGTGAGGCCAGTACAGTCGCGAAAGAAATAGCTGGACGCTCCAGAGGCTTAGGTGAAGGAAAGGTGTGCAGGCTGTGAGGTCGCACCCGAGCTAGCGACAAAGGCTGGTACTAGACTAGTGGTAGCTGTAGCTCCTACACAAAGACCCTTAGAGGCGCCTGGACTGGAAACAACACACGCACCAAGACTGGAAACGCAGGTCTCTTCTCGTGCAGTCGGGAAAGGTCCTAGACCAGGTAGGTGAGACTCAACTGGTGCAGCGGTGCGCTGGCGAAGACGCGAGGGCCAGTGCGGTGTAATAGCGTGAGGACCAAAACGCTCACGGTGGAGGTCGTCGAGGCGATGGTAGCAGCGGGACGCAGAGTGGTCAGGACTCCAGCAGGTGGTGCCAGCACGCGGGCCAGTCAGGATACGGTACCCGTAGGGACCAACGTCACGCCCACTACTGGCTAAGCCGCTGCTCCGGCCGGTACTCCGAGGACCCTTAGGTCCCCACTGTCGGGAGTACTGTAGCTGCTGTCGCTGCGGCTGACCCTGCTGCTGCTGCAGAACTCTAGCACACGCCACGGTAGGCGCTAGAGACGGCCGAGCGTGGTGGGGAGCGGCTAGGAGCGGCTGCTGGCTACAGCCTATGCTACTGCTGGTTCTGCTGGGGGCAGCCTATGCTGCTGTTGGTGCTGCTGGGGGCAGTCAATGCTGCTGCTGGTTCCGCTGGGGGCAGCCTATGCTGCTGCTAGTTCTGGCGGCAGTCCAAGCTGCTGCTGGTTCTGGTAGGTCTAGAGCGGTGGGGAGCGGTTCTGGGCGGTTCTGGGCGGTTATGGGCGGTTCTGGACGGTTTTGGACGGTTCTGGCCGGTTCTGGGCGGTCCTGGGCGGTTATGGGCGGTTCTGGGCGGGTTAGGGCGGTTTTGGTTGGTCCTGGACGGTTCTGGACGGTTCTGGACGGTTCTGGCCGGTTCTGGGCGGTCCTGGGCGGTTCTGGGCGGTTCTGGGCAGTTCTGGGCATCGGGTACAAAATGGGCCGGTGGGCCCAGGGTGGGGCGGGACAGGTGGGGCTGCTGGCGCGTTTCTAGTAGCTGCTGGCACTGCTGGGGCGTTCCTAGCAGTTGCTGGCGCTGCTAGCGCGGTGGTGTCTCTAGCGGCTGGTTTCAGGTGGAGCTGCGGGCACAGGGTGCGGGGAGGCAACGGGATGGGGGCAGGGACGCGAACCCGAGGGCGACGGGGACGCGACGCGAAGGGCGACGGGGACGCGACGGGGAGGGGATGGGAGGTGACGAGGACGCGACGTGGAGGGCGACGGGGACGCGACGCGGAGGGCGACGGGGACGCGACGAGGAGGGGACGGGATGTTACGGGGACGTGACGGGGAGGGGACGGGAGGTTACGGGGATGCGACAGGGATGGGACGGGAGGTGATGGGAATGCGACGGGAAGGGGACTGGAGGCGACGAGGGCGCGACGGAGAGGGGACGGGGGGTGACGGGGAGGGGACGGGGGGCGACGGGGGCGCGACCTGACGGGCCCGCGAGGGGCGTTCTAGGTCGTGACGTGGGGGGGACCCGCGGGGGTCCTTTCCTAGCGCGATCTAGCGGGCCCGCGGGGGCCGTTCTAGGTCGTGACGGATGACGGGCGGGGCTAGCGGGCTGACGCGATCGACGGGGGGGCGCTACTGGTGACTAGGCGCTACGGATGACGAGGCGCTACGGGCTAGGTCAGGGTACGGGGCAGTGGGCCCATAGGATCTTATCGCTCTATACCATGTCATAACAACTAGTGAATGAATGGGTAGAAACAAGCAGTACAAGGGAGCATATAGCAAACCCTATGGGGGTTATACCCTCTACAGCATAACTCAGTGTAAAACCTAGACTAAACTAACAAACTATAAGTATTATAGTTTGACACTTCCCACCTCCCCTCTTCCCTCTCCCGATCAGTTCATGCGCGTTAGCGCTGAGGGACTGTGTGGAGGCGCTAAGGTAAGAAGAGCAGCTGAGGCGAGCCAAGGGGGCAGCAGAGGCGGCACGCAGAGCAACTTTTTTAGGAATGTGAGGCACAAAGGACTGTTTAAGATGCGCACCCCCAATAGTGTGAGCCAGGTGGATGGGTGGATGGTGGCCGCGATGCGTGCATGTGCATGTTGTGTGCATGGTGGTGTGTGCATCATGTGCATGGTGTGTGCATCATGTGCATGGTGTGTGCATCATGTGCATGGTGTGTGCATCATATGCATGGTATGTGCATCATGTGCATGGCGTGTGCATCATGTGCATGATGTGTGGATCATGTGCATGGCATGCGTGGTGCCACATGGCACCAGTGCATGGTTGAGTGGGAGATACCCTTCTTTCATTTCATACACCAGGCAACGACCACCTTCCTCTCCTCCTCTTGTCCTCTTTCCCTCCCTTTCCCCTCCCCTTCCTCTCCCCTTTCCTTCCCCTTCCCCTCCCATGTTGCTCCCCTTTCTCTCCCCATTTTCTCCCCTTCCCCTCCACTTTCCTCCCCGCCCCCTCCCCATTCCTTCCCCTCCATCTCTCAACACATGCACCTGAATCAGCTCCGACCAGTCCAGGCTCTACCCTTTTTAGGCGCCTAAAAAAACTGCTCTGAGTGTCAATAAGGTAACGTCTCTTCTCTCTGTTGCTGCAGCAGAGAGGGCCTTGAGGTGAATGTACATGGGGGTGGTTTTCTGTGGGCGGGGTTGAGCGTCATGGTTGGCATGATGAGATGTGCTGCATCTGTTGTTGCAACTCGTGAGCCAATTGTGAAAACTGAGAAAATGTGGGGCTTCATATGGGTGTGAGAGAGTGGACAGCTGGTGCTGACTAGCGATCGCATCAGCAAGGATAGCAACAGCAGCTGCACCAGCAGCCTTGCAGGAGTCGCTCTCACTGCCTTGCTTTCCTTGAGCCAAAGATAGCAGGGGTGTCAGGAGGACCCTGTTTAGTGGGTATTACACAATCAGCAAGGTCAGCAAGGCCAGCAAGGTCGGCAATCTTGAAGGATCCGGCTTAGATACCACAGTTTCAAACACCTAGTCCCACACCTCGTCCCTCATTTTCCAGGCCTCTTTGGCTCACTGCATACCTCACATCACTTTGCACTGTCATTTCTATGCTTTTCGCTTCCCTCAGTCCCTTCCCTCTCGTGTGTGCCCCTCACACATGCTTTCCCTTCGCTCATTTGCAGCATAATCTTGTTAAGCTCGGAGGGGTAAGCCATACAGCCAGGGCTGACGCTATCAGAGTAAATAGTCTGATTAGTCTGACGGATCAGACCATCGAGTTTGTGAAAAATGGAATTCCAGAGTAGTCAAATTTTCATCACTGAGAGCCTCAGAGTTATTGTTGTATGGCCCCTGATTCAGTGTAATAGGCCTAAGTGTTACTCATTTCTGGAGTCTGTCACTACAGAGTATGCGTTCTGTGGTCCCTGCATGCGAGTTTATCGGGAGGACGCTTCCTCAAAATTTCCTTTCGATACACCCACCTCCGAGGTGGCAGCGAATGCCAACACGTGAGCAAAGCACACAGCACCTGCTGCGATATCTGAATACACTCTATCTGTGGCAGTATCACGCAGGTTGAATTGTGTCCCACAGTGGGTTAACCGTTGAAGCGGGCTAGAAAAAGAAGCCCAATAGTGATGTCTTAGCGGATAGCACAACAAATCGGCGAATCGGTGGGAGAGGATATCTTGCCACAGGTAATGTATCGCACTTTTTGGTGCTGAAATCGAAAATTTCTCCGCACCACAGCACTTGAAATAAATTGTTCCTGATTCATAGGTTGAAAATTTATGTTGCGGAGGCACCGGCAGATTCTCGCGCGCCAAGTGGTGGTTTGTGTTTTGTGCCAGCTCAGCTGCGTGGCAGGTCGCCCAGTTGGCACTTGCAAAGTTGCGCCAAATCGAGCCAATGTTGCAACAGTCCTTCTCGCCCTTGAAGCTCACCGACAAACCAGAAGGAAAAAACAAAAAAAAACCGCGACTCTGAAGTCATTTCCCCAACACTGAAGGACCAGAGTTGTGTTTTTTTCAACCCTGATTTCTTTTAACACGCTCAGAGTGGCCATTTTGCGGCCGAAGTGCCGTCAGAGTAGAAAAAAAAATTGCGGGTCAAAAACAGGGAGGCGTTTTTTGAAACGTCAGCCCTGCATACAGAAGCAGAAGCCGAGACACGAGTAACCAGCCATGTGGGCGCATTGAGTGGGTGGAGTGTGGCTGTGGTAACGAGGTAGGAGCGATTGGGATTCTGCTGCTTTCCAGTATGCTGGAACAGAATGCATGGCTGTCACTCGCCGACCTAGCCATGCATCGTGGAGGGCGAATTGTTTGCGATGCCTAGTGAAGCAGATGAATGTGATATGATGCTTTTGATATCCGGTACTTGCCTACTGTGTGCTAGTAAAGAAAAGAGCTTTACAGGTGGGTGATGCAGCAGTATGTGTGACTTGTACCCTTTCCCATGCATGCACAGGCCCACTCCTGCTTCACCTCTTCCCTCAGTCTCGGAACCCTGAAAAATCAGGCTTTTTTTTTTAGGAACCCTGAAAATTCAGGCTTTTTTTCACAGAGACCCTGATGCATCAACGTCCCTAAAAGTGAATCTGAGGGCCTGGTCCCACTCCCACCCCATGGATCATGCCCTGCTGCCTAGCTAGCCAGGAAGCTGCTGCACATGCGTACATTACTACGTTTTGATACAAATCAAGTGTGATGGAACTTCTTGTTTATACAGAGGCACTGATGAATGTAACAGCAGACTCAAGTGGAGCGTGTTTTATCTGCACCCAATGTCAGAACAGCAAGATCAGTAACTGAACCTCACCACCAGCATGCAACTGTTTTCTGCTAACTACAGACTTTTACACACCGTTGCAGTCTGAGGTCAAAGCACAACCATGGTAGCCTTCCCTCAGCTGTGCATAGATAAAGCCTTCCCCAGCCACCAACTTGCACACACCTCCACTCCACTCCATCCACACTTCTTGCCTACAAGCCTCTCCTAAACAGCATCAATTATCTCCCTGACCCCCATCATCACTTCCTACCCCTCTACCCTCCTATCTGCTAGAGCAGATCCTCATTGCACACCCAGTTCCCTTGCAGCAGTAGAAGAAGTGCATTACAAGCTCCATCATACGAACAATACCCTTTCCTCTGTAAAGGTACTTGTACACCCTGAACCCAAACAGCCAAGCATTTCTTATGCAGCTCCCCTTATGCAGCCATGCGAGAAACAACTCACCCCTGATCTCAACCCTCGCCCGCCGCCGCCGCTGCTGCTGCCGCCACTGCTGCTGCCACTGCTAGGGAAATGCCGGCTAAAGCTCATGGTGGCGGATAAGTGATTTGCATCCCGTCGACGCGGGCGAAGGAGGTAAGAACGTGTGGTTTACGTTCTTTCGGCCCAATAATATCTTCGACCCGAATACCCCGCACAAGAAGCGCGTCGCCAATCATCGAGCGATGGCAGCGCCAGGGCACTGCTTCAGCGCACATCAAGACACAACGCTCAGCACGTGCTAAGTCCACGAGCCATTGAACATTCTCGGCAAACTCGGACGATTGCATGTAATCCGCGTAACCTCGAAAAGAAAGATGGTGCCAACCGGTGTTGGGAGAATCGGCCCGTGCTTTGCGCCGGCCACCAAGGCCCGGACGATGCGTATAAGAGATGTGAACTGAAGGTAAGTATGTCTCGAGAGCCTCTTTATTGAACTGTGGATTATGGCGCGACCCTGGTAGAGTTCTCACATCAATTACCCGGACAACCCGGTTTCGTTGCAGTAAATTGACAAACGCTTCCCATGTCCGATTGGAATGGCCGATAGTACAGATAAGTGGCTGGCCCGGTAAGATGCCCGTACTTGATTCGGATGGCTGCATCATGAGGTCTAGCTAGGAGAGGGGGGAAGCGAGAGGAGAAGTTGCAGGACACGAAGTGACTTGGTACCATGCAAGGAGAAATGGTTTGAAAGGAGAGATGAAACGAGAATGTTCAGAGTGGCCATGCTATATTTTGGCTGCACTGGAAAAGGATGAGAGAAAGCGTAAGCTAAACAAGGGCGTTGACTTATAAAGTTTATGGAAGGAAGGAAGAGGGCGAGAACCTTATAGAGCAATAGATAAGATTGATTCCATAAGCGGGCTACGAACAGGAGGAGCCAAGAACGGCAGGGTGACCGCACCTATAACGCCCGTGCCCCAGACCACTGGGCCAAAACAGGGTCAGGGGAAGTTGAGAGGTTGCAGGGGTGCGTTTTAACCCCTGTGCAAGTCCAGACGTTACAGTACCTGGAGTAGGTGAGATGTGCTGAGTGGAAGCAGCGGGCGAGGCACTCCAGTGGAGGCGCCGAACCGGAGAGCACTGGAGGGAGGCGAAGGAAGGGCGAGGCGACAAGAGGTGGCAGGCGGCAGCAGCAAGGTGGCAGTTGAGAGCGAGGAGGCGGTCCACAGCCAGTGATGGCAAGAGGCACTGAAGAGGAAAGGAATGGCGAGAGGACGCCACAAGCTGTTGGAAAGTGCAGTCGCTTGAGATGAAGGCATGAGAGTTGAGGGCTAGGAAGCGTAGAGGAAGAGGTTGGACCTCAGCGGAAGGGCTGCGGTAAGGTAATGGGGAGCGGGAGGGAGAAGGGACGGGGGGAGAAGGGGAGGGGAGGAGGGGAAGGTGGAGGGTGGAGGGGAAGGAGCAGGGCGGAAGGAGTACACAGCAGAAGAAAGTAGGGAAAGGGAATGAGCAGGAGACGAGAGTAGAATGAGGTGGAAAGTAGATGGAGAAAGGATCGGGATACCAGAAATCAACACAAGCGAGAAAGGAGTAACAAAAGGTACTCGTACTACTCTGGTAAACGCTTAGAGCAGGCTGTGGACGATGAGAGCATCAGGGCGCATTGGGAAGGGTGAATCGGCGGGAGCAGAGCAGAGAGGCCGTACCTGGAATGGGTGAGCTGCCGAGTGGCAGCAGCGAGTTACCACTTGCGAGCGAACCGCTAAGCCGGAGGGCGCCGAGCGAGATAAGATTTGGAGGGAGGGGCGAGGTGGCGACGGAGGAGCGAGGCGACAAGAAGGAGCGCGCGGGAGCAGTAGCGAGGTGCCAGCGAGGTGCCAGCGAGGTGCCAGGAATGGAGAGGAGGTGCTCTCAAAATGAAATGACGGCAGGAGGGATGATGAAGGTAGGAAACGAAACGGAAGGAGATCGATGATGGCAGTGCAGACGTTGGAGCTGGGCTTGGGGTTGGAGAAGAATGAGGAGCCGGGAAGAGAGAGGCACTCGAACGGAGGAGGCGGCGGGGAATGGATCAGCTTGAAGACCCACTCGCCTTGCACTTGCACGACTCTCGTGCGCCCTTTTTCGCGGTCGCTTTCACGCACCCGCGGAATTTCGCTTCCCATGTAGCTTTATTTTTTCGTGCCGAACCAAATCCGACCCCGCACACCCGCTCGCCACTTGGCGGAAGCAGACGCCCCTCTCCCTTCCGCCCCTTCCTCATCCCGCCGTGCATGTCTTCGTGCTCGCTCCACCATCACGAGTCGCTCCAGGCGACTCGGCCATCACTGGCATACATGGCGTTACCCCCACCCGGCTGTTCACGATAGGATTCTCTGACGTTCGCTTTCGCGAGCGCACAGAAGAATATTGGCGGTGCGAATGTCGCCGGTGAGTGCCTGCGCCGGGAGCATCACATCGCGGCATCGTGAGGCTAAGGACGTTGATCTACCAATCCGACGGCGAATTCGGTGATCAGCAAGCACCACCAAGCATAACATCGTTTTCTACGATGTGCGGGATAAGATGCGAGAGGGGCTAGGAGAGAAGCATGCAGACAGCGAGCATGGCGACAGGTGGAGCTACGAGCGGAGGCGTGCTTGTTCACAAACAACCAGCAAAAAGGGGAGGGCGTGGGGATGGAGGTGTGAGAGGGCAGGGCGTGGAGTTGGATTTGGATGCGCGAAATTCAAGACTTGCTGGTTTCGCCAAGCACGTGTAACCTGAATCAGCGTTTTGCATTCTTTCGTTACTGCACAAACGAGTGTGACGTGCTGCGTATTTGTGCGAATGATCTCAAACCAGTTCCTATGGCTAGGAAATAGGGTGTACTACTTGAATATGAGGAGAAACACGGCTAAAAAAAACATGCAGATGATTAAACGGTGACATGTTGCGTACATGCCCATTCTTGCACAGTTTCATGTCATCAAACGCACAAACGAGTGTCACGTGCTGCGTAGTTGTGCGAATGATCTCAAACCAGTTCCTATGGCTAGGAAATATGATATAATACTTTAATATGCGGAGAAATAGGGCTAAAAAAAACATGCAGAAGATTAAACGGTGACATGTTGCGTACATGCCCATCCTTGCACAGTTTCATGCCATCAAACGCACAAACGAGTGTGACGTGCTGCGTAGTTGTGCGAATGATCTCAAACCAGTTCCTATGGCTAGGAAATAGGGTGTACTACTTGAATATGAGGAGAAACAGGGTTAAAAAAAACATGCAGATGATTAAACGGTGACATGTTGCGTACATGCCTATCTTTGCACAGTTTCATGCCATCAAACGCAAAAACAAGAACCACGTGCTGCATAGTTGTGCGAATGATCCCAACCCATTTCATATGGCTAGGGAATAGGATGTACTACCTGAATGTGAGGGGAAATAGGGCTAATAAAAACATTAAGATGATTAAACGGCGACATGTTGCGTACATGCCGATCATCAATATAGTGTCTTGTTTATATTTGCAACTCTCGATTATTTTGACCAGTAGCCTCTACTGTATATAAAGGTGAGAGTACCTGGTTTGTAGATCATTCACAAACCTAAAGGCATATATTAACAACAATTCATGTTGAAAATTATGTTTTTATGCGTTGACCAATCAATCAGTTGTACGCATATTGTGACTTCAGAATTTTAAGGCTAGGTTGAATTGATTGAGTGATTTGTTTGTTCCAGAAACTATTAACAATTCATTCATATTCATCACCATGCGTGGACTTCTTGCCGTATATGATCAGATATTGCATATATTTGTTATAAATTGTGACAATTTGTTTCTGTCATTTTGGACTTTCGAAATTGGGTTGCATAAAACGGAACCCGTCAGTGGATCGGTCTTTGGCTGGAAAACTGTGTATTGCTTGTTCGAGAAATTGTCACGCTGTAACAACTTCTCTACTTTTGTCGAGCTGACAGCAGCGCAGCTCAGCGCGATAGTCGTGCAGCGCACTGCTGTGCGCCCCAAATCCCTTTCCAGCCAATCGCTGCTCAGGCTTGAGCCAGCGCTCCTTATTGAACTGTCAAATCAGTCGCAAAGGTCGCTTTGCCGCTGCTGAGACACAAAATGGCCGAATCAGCATCTTCGACGCCACGCTGGCAGTTGCTTCTCTGGTAAGTCGCTGGTTTTGTCGCCACACTTCTAGCTACCCCCTCGTCATCGCCCCCAGTCGTTTTTACGAGCAGCGGAGGTCCTACCTCGTCATTCCTAACTCGTCATTTCTCATCGACCAGCTCTAAGTTTGTGACTGCAGTCTCCTTAGGTCCCAAGTTTGTGACTGGCAGTCTCTCTGGTAAGCCAACCGCAGGTTTTGTAGCTAGATACACTCTTCCTGCTACCCCCTTATTTGTTTCGCGGCTGTTTTCTTCTGATTCGAGTTCCCGTCTTTTCTCGTCGACGAGCTGTTAATGCTCGATGATTGTCACTTTTGTGACTGTTATTCCCTCCCGCTGCAGTCCTAAACCGTCGCTCACTCGAAGATGATACCACTTGTCTTTTCCGTTTTTTTTTTTTTTTCTTTTTTTTTCTTTCCTTCGACTTTGCGCGGCGGTCATTTCAGATCGTTTGGCGTGTCCGGCGCCTATTCCGAAGCTCAGCTCGTCGTTTCACCAGGAGCTTTTAGTGTGAGAAACCGTTTTGACCGTTTCAATGTATCTGCTCACCTGTGTTTCTTTTTTACCAGGCCTGTTTTCCCCGTAGCCATGTCGCAATGTCGAGCGTGGTCGTCGTGCAAAGGTAAGCGATTCACTTCGGTGTCCTCAACCTGCTGGACTGTTCTTACTGCTTGTCTTGTACCTTTTTTTTTACTTTCTTTCCTCGATATGCTCGTATTGCTATCTTGTTCGCGTGTGTTTCTGTTTTATCAGGCACGTTGTCGTCCAACGAGATGCAGAATCCCGCGTGGTCGCCATGGCGAGGTATGCCTGGCATTTGACTTGCAAGTTTTTGTGCTGCTTTTTAAACTTGCAAGTTGGTTTTTTTCTTGCAGGTCGTCTCCTTAGCTTTTACAAGGCTGCTTAGTGCTAATGTTGGCCTGGGCAATCAGCGAATATAGTTACTTAGTGCTAGACTTAGAGCAGCCTGTGTTGTTTGTAATCATTATATTCGGAAGTTCAACAAATGCGTAGGTTTATTTAAAATTTCGAGTTGATTAATTCAGCAGTCAAGCAGGAAGTTTACAGCTAGAAAGTGTCAAAAACAAACTGTTGTTCAGGGCTAGTATTGTGCAAAATATAGATTTTTTATTAATACAGCCGAATGGATTTTCTATCCATTTATTGAGTGTAGCAAGAATACAAAAGTGCAAAAGTAAATATAAGTGTATTGCGAGATATGTATATTATTGCTATAGTCTCTGTTTTTTATCACTTTTATCGGGCGAAATGTTCGCACTATTAGAATCTAGATGTGAACGAGAATGATGAAACTAGGCAGCAGGGTGATACAAGTAGGCAACCCTAACAATGTTGTACCCCCTAAGGCTAAACCCACTATAGCCTACACAATATAAACATATATAATGTTTGACACACCCCCATAGGCTAAGTGGGAGACAACCAGATGGTCACAAGATCAGTCAAAGCAAAGCAAAGCAAGCTCAGGATGGATCTCAAGGAAACCACACAAATTCCGAGTACAAGCAAGTGGTCACAAGACCAGTTCACATGCAGTTTGATAATATAACAAGAGATACAGTGATCACAACCTAGCAAATGTAAGCATGCAGGTATGTATATATAGAGATCACAGTACAAACAGAGTCAAGAAGTAAGCAAGTGAGGCACAGTAGGCACAAGGCCTAGAACAGTACAGAAACGCTGACGATCACAAGGCAGAAGCGCCTTGGTGAACACATCAGCAGTGTTGGCCCGAGTGGCCACGTAGGCAAGACGAAGCTGACCTCGCTGCTGCAGCTCTAGAGCAAGGAAGTAGCGTAGAGCGATATGCTTCGTTCTGTGCTCCAGTCTGTGCTCCTGACACAAGGCAATGGTAGCCTTGTTGTCGACGTACAGCACTGGAGGAGAACGAGGCCGCTCTCCCAGGTCAGTCAGCAGGTAGGTGAGCAAGCGTAACTCCTGTGCAGCCATGGCTGTGGCGTAGATCTCAGCCTCACAACTGGAGCTGAGAACTGAAGACGAGCGAGTAGAACGCCAAGAAACTGAACCAGAGCCAAGGCTGAAGGTGTAACCCTGAGACGACCGCTGAGTAGCCTGGTCGTCAGCCCAAGAAGCGTCTGAGTGCCCAGTGAGGACAACTCGAGTCCGTCCTCCAAGCACGAGCCCCATGCCCGACGTACTGCACAAGTAACGCAACACCCTCTTAGCGGCATCCATGTGCTCCTTCCGGTGACGGCCAGGAGAGACATAGCGTGCTAGGATGCTAAGAGGGTATGCAAGGTCAGGTCGAGTGCAGGTCATCAGGTACATGAGGCAGCCCACAAGCTCTGGATACGGGCCACTCGGCTCTACGGACTCATCCGAAGGCAGAGCTGAGAGCGAGTGACCGGTAGGCAGAGGAGTGGCCTGAGGCGAGGAGTTTGTGAAGCGGAAGCGCTGAAGGACCTGCTGCACCATGTGTGACTGAGTCAAGGTGATGGTGCGCTGTGCTCTGTCCCGGGTGATCCGCAAGCCAAGATAGCTTGTCAGTTCACCCAGGTCTGTGCACTGTGTTTCTTCTGCAGCCCCGACTTCACGTGGGCGAGTGCCTCAGTGTCAGCAGTAGCAAAGACTAAGTCGTCTACGTAAACGAGAACGTAGAACGGCGGCAGAGTGGTGTCGGTGCGTAGAAACAGCGACGGGTCAGCAGTAGAAGGAGCAAACCCAAGAGCAGCAAGAGTAGTCCTCAATGTGTCGTGCCACTCACGGGGTGCCTGTCGGAGACCGTAGACTGGCCGCCGGAGGCTCCACTGGGTACCAGGAGGGAACGACCCAGTGAAGCCAGGTGGGCGGCGCAGCCAGATCTCCTCGTGCAGGCTGCCCTGTAGGAAAGCAGTGCTGAAGTCAAGAGAGTGGAGCTCGTAGTCACGCTGAGCAGCGACGTGCAGCAGAACCCGAAGAGTGGTCATCTTCGGGGTCGGGGAGAAGGTCTGGAAGAAGTCAATTTCCTCTCGCTGACTGAAGCCTCGTGCAACGTAACGCGCCTTGAAGACAGGCGGAGAACCCGGCGGCCGCTTCACCCTGAAAATCCACATGCCACTGACGATGTTCGCCCCAGGTAGGGGAACCTCGTCGACGTAGGTGCCAGTGGACTTCCAGGAGGCCATCTCTGCGTCCATGGCTGTCTGCCAATAAGAGGAGTAGGGACCCTCCATCGCCTCTGCGTAAGAGCGTGGGGTCGGGATGTCTGGTGCATCCGGGTCTCCCTCAGGGGCAATCAGCATGGACACGAGATGAGGCAAAGCAGCGGCAAAGCACTCAAACTCCTCCTGCCTGTCCTCAAGGACGTCCGTGCCAAGAGCACACTCACCCCCGACGGACGGAGGACAGACAGACTCAGACTCAGCAACAAGGCTAGCGGCGTAGTCGAGACGACAGGCGGCAGCAGAGTCAACTAACTCAGCGACTAGAGCAGACGCAGCAGAGGACTCAAAGGTAGGGTCAGTGACAACAGTGGCGAGGAGACGCGTGACAGTAGGACTGGCAGCACGAAGGGAGTCAGACTCCGGGTCAGCAAGAGCAGGAAGAGAGGACGCTGGAGGAGACGGTAGAGGGACACGCTGTGGAGCAGTGGAAGGACGCAGAGTCATGTAGTGAGTGCCAGGGACAGGAGGAGGACGCTCGCGCGGAACACGACGACGAGCACGGACAGGCGACTCTGAACGAGACTCAGGTGACGCAGGACGAGAATCAGGCGACGCAGGACGAGACTCAGGCGCACGACGCTCCGTAAGACCTCTAGTCGGTCCAGCGTAAGGAGAAGGACCAGGTAGCGGAGAGGCAGGCTGTAACTGTGACTGCGACTGGACCGGTGGTGGACTCAGTAGGGGAGGAGTAGGACCAGTAGAGGGCGGGAGGTCAAGAACCTGGTGAAGGAGCGCAACGTAGTACGGCCGCGGCCGCTCAGCACCTCCTGAACCAGCAGAGACAGCACCAGCACCCTCAGCCCCAGGGTCTCCAGCGACAACTCCCGCAGTACCACCAGTAACCCCAGCAGCTCCAGTACCTCCAGCTCCAACCCCCGCAGCAGCTCCAGTCCTAGTAGCTCCAGTACCTCTAGTACGAGCACCTCCAGAACCAGCGGCTCCAGCAGCTCCAGCACCAGCAGGACCTCCAGTAGCTCCAGCACCAGTAGCACCTCCAGCAGCACCTGCACCAGCAGCACCTCCAGCAGCACCAGCAGCACCTCCAGTAGCTCCAGCACCAGCAGCACCTCCAGCAGCACCTGCACCAGCAGCACCTCCAGCAGCACCAACAGCACCTCCAGTACCAGCAGCGCCTCCATTAGCTCCAGCACCAGCAGCACCTCCAGCAGCTCCAGCACCAGCAGCACCACCAGCAGCACCACCAGCAGCAGCTCCTGCTCCAGGGTCCAAAGCACCAGTAGCGCCACTCCGGAGACTGCAGCGCCGAGCGTACCACTCCTGGAGCCGCTGGGGAGAGGGCGGCTCCCGCCTAGACGGGGAACCACGAGCACCAGCTCCAGCAGCACCCCTAGCCCCAGAAGCGCCCCTCCTGAGGCTGCAGTACCGCGAGTACCACTCACGCAGCTGCTGTGAAGAGGGAGCGCCTCCAGGCGCCGCACGGTCAGTCGCAGCACCCCTAGGCTCAGTACCCTCAGACGTAGCACTCTCAAGCTCAGCACCCCCAGACTCAGCAACCTCAAGCTCAGCACCCCCAGGCTCCGCACCCCCAGGCTCCGTACCCGCAGGCTCAGCACCCCCAGGCTCCGCACGCTCAGGCTCAGCACCCCCAGGCTCCTCACCCCCAGGCTCAGCACCCCTAGCAGGACGAGAGTCAACAGCTACCTCGACAGGCTCAACCGGGTCTACCTAGGACACACCTGAGGGAGCGGCACCCTGAGGGGGGAGGGGGTCTACCACAGCAGCACCTGGTGCGAGGAAGAGAGGCGGGGGGGGGAGCGGGGCAGTGCGGTAGGGGAAGAGGCGGTAGTAGGGGACCGACTCGTCGAAGGTGACGTCCTGAGAGGGCAGGACACGGCGCGAGGTGGCGTGGTAAAACTGCCAACCAGACGCGTCCGGGACAAAGCCAAGGAAGACACAAGGAACAGCGCGGGAGGAGAGCTTGTCCGCGGACGTATCGCGGACAAAAGCACGAGATCCCCAGACCCGGAAACGCGACGCATCGCCAACCTTCCCCGACCACAGCAGTGTGGGCGAGGTCTCCGGCAAGGAGACACGGGGCCAGAGGTTGAGCTGATGCGCGACGTACCGGACCGCAAACGGCCACAGAAAGTGGGGGGCAGCCGCATGGATCAAGGAGGTACGAGCGACCTCCATGACCAAGCCAATGCGGCGCTCAGCAACCCCATTCTGCTGTGGAGAGGCCGGAAGCGTGAACGACTGCTCAATGCCCTCCCCCTGACAGAAGGCCCTCAAGAGGTCGTAGGAAAACTCCCCACCTCTGTCAGAGTGCAGACGCAGGACAGGAAAGTCCGAGTGAAACCTCTCGCTGAGCTGGAGACGAGCAGCGCGGATCCAAGGGATCAAAACATCAGGGACTTCACCCTTGGTGCGCAAGGGGAAGACTGTGGTGTAGCGCGAGTAGTCGTCAACAACTATCAAGAAGTACCTCTCGTGACCCTGTCCACGGACGCGGGCTGGGCCCCACACGTCCATGTGGAGCGTCTGCAGGGGAGCATTCGTCGGGGGAAACGAGGAGGAGTGAGGAGCGGCGCGCTGCCGCCCCTCGACACAGGGAAGACAGGGAGGAGCAGGCGAGGGTGGGAGGGGAGGGAGAACCCTGGGAAGACCAGAGACAAGGTACCGGGAGTGCATGCCACGAAGGCGCTGCATTGACGGGTGACCAAGGCGGTGGTGCCAGAGGACGGTCTCGTGCGCCAGGGAGCGACACGAGCAGGGGGCCGACATCTGACCTGACGCAGACGCAGCTACCTGAGGGGACGCAGTGGTCAGTGTGTACAGGTCCGACCCCGGCTGCCGAGTGAAGGTAGCCAGGTGGCGACCCGTCCGAGCGCACGTGCAGTGTGTCACGCGCTCGTAGGCAGGGGTGAACTGGTGGACACCCCCGTCCTGGAGCGCACTACCCGCCACCAAGTTCGTAGAGAACGAGGGGAGGTAGAGACCTGACAGTGTGCCCGACGGGAATGCAGGACAAGGGAGGACAGTGGAGGAGGTCGCAATGACCGGACCCCCAGAGGGGTCAGCGAGGGAGACTGCGACCGGCCGAGCAAGCTGCTCAAGGGCAGTGTGGTCATGAAAGAAACAGCGGGAAGCACCTGAGTCCAGTGTGAAGGTGTGCAGTGCCTCAGTAGACACAGTACCAGAGGGCGCAGACTCACGAGTACCTAGAGCAGCAGTCTCACCAGTACCTGGGGCAACAGACACACTAGCACCTAGAGCGGCAGCCTCACCAGCACCTGAGGCAACAGACACACGAGCACCTAGTCCGGCAGCCTCACCAGTACCTAGAGCAGCAGACTGGATACCGGGGTCAGGCGGCACACACAGGTGACAGGCACTCTCAGCACTAGTAGACAATGCATACATGGCATTGAGGATAGCATCATAGTCAAGAGCATAGATATCTACCCTCTGCCTAAGCAGCTCCAGCCAGGAGGGGAGCTCAGCGTCGTCGCCAAACTCTGTACGCCAAGTGTCGCTCAGACGGGCGAAGCAGTGGGACTCTGTGTGACCACGTGTCCCGCAAGGCTGACCAGTCCGGGCACCCGTGCTAATAACGTACGGGCAGCGAGCAGTACTCAGCGACCCTCTACTCTGAGCGTACCACTCACGAAGCTGCTGGGGTGAAAGAGGCTCGTGCGGACGACGCTGCTGCTGCACCGGGCCACTACAAGAAGCTCCCGAACTACCTACTCCAGGACGACTCCCACTACTGCCACCCCGACAACCCCAACTGGCGTACCACTCACGAAGCTGCTGGGGCGTGAGGGACACACGTGGACGACCGTGGGGCTGCATCTGTCCACGCCAGGAGCAGCAGTAGCAGCAGGAGCAGCAGTAGCAGCAGTAGCGGCAGTAACAGCAGTAGCAGCAGGAGCAGTAAAAGTAGGAGCAGTAGTAGTAGCAGGAGCAGTACGGGCAGGGCAGTGCTCACCAGTGGTGGGAAGGGCAGGCGCAAGACGGCGGCGACAGCGGGGCCGCTAGAGCTGTAGGGCGGGGCCAGGCCGCGGCAGGGAGCTCCGCGGCAGCTGCTGCAGGGCGGGGCCGGGCCGCGACGGCAGCTGCTCCAGGGGCCAGGGGCGGCTCCCGCAGTGGCGGCTGCTCCAGGTGGCCAGGGGCGGCTGCTGCAGGGGCGGCTGCTCCAGGGTCCGGGGGCGGCTGTAGGTGCGGCTGCTCCAGGGGCCAGGGGCGGCCGCTGCAGTGGCGGCTGCTCCAGGGGCCAGGGGCGGCCGTCCCAAGGGCGGGCGTGGGGTAGGGCAGGGCGCCGCGGCGAGCAGAGGCGACTGCAGTAGTGAACAGTAGTAGCAGCGCGGCTCGGCTGGGGCGATGCGACGGGCTGGGGCAGCCCGCAAGGGCGACGCGACGGGCTAGGGCGACGCGACGGGCTAGGGCAGCCCGCAAGGGCGACGCGACGGGCTAAGGCAGCCCGCAGGGGCGACGCGACGGGCTAAGGCGGCCCGCAGGGGCGAGGCAACGGGCTAAGGCAGCCCGCAGGGGCGACGCGACAGGCTAGGGCAGCCCGCAAGGGCGACGCGACGGGCTGGGACAGCCCGCATGGGCGACGCGACGGGCTAGAGCAGCCCGCAAGGGCGACGCGACGGGCTAAGGCAGCCCGCAGGGGCGACGCGACGGGCTAGGGCAGCCCGGAAGGGCGACGCGACGGGCTAAGGCAGCCCGCAGGGGCGACGCGACGGGCTAAGGCAGCCCGCGGGGGCGACGCGACGGGCTAGGGCAGCCCGCTAGGGCGACGCGACGGGCTAGGGCAGCCCGCAGGGGCGACGCGACAGGCTAGGGCAGCCCGCAAGGGCGACGCGACGGGCTGGGGCAGCTGCGCGTGCGGCTGTGCGGGCGGCTGCGCGTGCGGCTGCGCGAGCGGCTGCGCGTGCGGCTGACGGGCGGCGCGCGCGGCTGTCCTAGGGCGCACGACGGCGCTAGTAGGGGGTGCTCGATGGCGCTAGAAGGGGCGCTCGACGGCGCTAGAGGGGGCGCTCGACCGCGCAAGAAGGGGCGCTCGACGGCGCTAGTAGGGGCGCTCGACGGCGCAAGAAGGGGCGCTCGACGGCGCTAGTAGGGGCGCTCGACGGCGCTAGTAGGGGCGCTCGACGGCGCAAGAAGGGGCGCTCGACGGCGCGGCGGAACGGTGGGCCCAAACCAACGTCGGTCCTAGGTCCTGACCTAGGCGTCGGATACCATATTAGAATCTAGATGTGAACGAGAATGATGAAACTAGGCAGCAGGGTGATACAAGTAGGCAACCCTAACAATGTTGTACCCCCTAAGGCTAGACCCACTATAGCCTACATAATATAAACATATATAATGTTTGACACGCACGTGTCGCGAATCTGAGCCAATTGATTTTCATTCCTACACATCTCGATAACCAATGAGAGCAATCTCCGAACTGAATTTCTCCAAGCACTTGACCAATCGATTGAGTTTCCGAGCCAAACAAAACTGTTATGGCGATTGGTTCCTGAAGTGTTGGGAGAGTTGAACGCGCGGTCTGCGTGAAAAGTAGAATGAGGCATAACCTCGAACATACTTTCCGAAACCTTACCCCAAAGTTACTCTCCAAGTTACTTCGAACCTACATTTGCCCCCCTGTTTTTTTCGGATGTCCCTCCACGTTCGCCGCGTTCACTGTAAGCACAACCGTCTTCGCTGTTTTCCTTTCCTCGTTCCTAGTACACGAGACAGCGCCATCCTAATAGCACTGTCTTGGGTTATAGGATGCACCCCACCCTTAGCTCCCTCGTGAGCACTCTCCTTCGTTGGTGCATGGAAAAGGGGAGGTCCTGGTAGAGTGGCGGAGCTCGAGGGAGAGAACCGGCGGTAGGGCGAAGGTGGTAGAAGGTTGGAGAACGTGAGAGGGAGAAGGGCGCCGAGGAACGAGGGAATAGGAAAGGGCGGTGCATTAGAGATGTAAGAAAATGGGAAGGAAAGGGAGGAGACTAAGGGATAGTGAGATGCCGAGGTTTAGGAGAGAGGCGGATGGAGAATGACGACCGAAGAAAAGGGCTTTGGAGTTTAGTCACTCTGGATGTAGACGGGCGATGAATGAGGCCGGCTAGTTAAAAGTAGAGAATAGAAGCAGGTGGCGTGTTGGCGTGCGAGCAATGAGGAAGCTTGGACCTTGTGTTAGCGGTTCCTAAGCTTGGATATGAACAAGTTTGGTTTCTGTTTGTGGTGTCATTTTTTTTTTTTTTTTTCCAAGTATTCCTTTGCACTCTTTGGGCCCTTCCTAGACACTAAGCAGCCCGGAGGTGTTGCACGTGGCCTGGGCATCTCAGGCGTTTGATCTCTCTGTCGCCCCAGCAACTGTATGTAATAGCCTGTGTGGCTTTGCAGCTTATCAATGGGCAACTATATGTCCCCTAGCTTCTTGGCGATAGTTTCCTGGTTATCCTCTTTCACAGCTATTATGCTTGACTGAGATAAATGTAATATGAGATGCGGGTTATTCTCCCTTGGGTCCAACCAGGGCCTTCGAATCTTCCATGACCATCCATGACCACGAGATTCCTTGACCACCTACTTCGCCTGTTCTATATCTTCTCTTTGACGGTCGTCCTTCCGTGCTCCGTGTGCCTTCTTGGTCTCTCTACGACTAGAGCGGACAGTACGACGAATGTGCTTGGGGCTGTGCCGTGTTAGTAAAGCTGTGCCCTTTTGGACAGGAAGTGTCCCTTTGACCCACCAACCAAGCAATGTTCCTCCTTCCCCTGACGTCCTGGGTTGAACCTCCCCCCTGGTAGACCTATACTGTGGTTAACCTACCATGTGGTTAACCTACCATGTGGTTAACCTACCATGTGGTCAGCCTACCATGTGGTTAACCTACCATGCGGTTAACCTACCATGTGGCTAACCTACCATGTGGTTAACCTACCATGTGGTTAACCTACCATGTGGTTAACCTACCATGTGGTTAACCTACCATGTGGTTAACCTACCATGTGGTTAACCTACCATGTGGTTAACCTACCATGTGGTTAACCTACCATGTGGTTAACCTACCATGTGGTTAACCTACCATGTGGTTAACCTACCATGTGGTTAACCTACCATGTGGTTAACCTACCATGTGGTTAACCTACCATGTGGTTAACCTACCATGTGGTTAACCTACCATGTGGTTAACCTACCATGTGGTTAACCCACCCGCGGTTAACCTATCACATGGTTAACCTTTTACGTGGTTAACCTATCACGTGGGTAACCTATTGTTTAGTTCACCTATCTATTCTGTAGTTAACCTATTCTGTGGTGAACTTATTACGTGGTTAACCGATCATGTGAATAACATAGCCATTCTTGCATAACCATATATTGTCTCTCCTATCGATTTGCTCCTTCTTTCTGCATCTTGCTTTCAAATGCATCCGCTTCTTAGGGTCTTTCTTCCCTCCACTTTCATCCAGTCTACTGTTTCCTTACTCATGTCCACTTTTCAGGATAAAAGCTTACTTTGCCTGAACGTTTCGTGGGTTGAGTGTGCATCGAGACGATGGCTGGCTGTGAAAAGGGAGGCAAATGAGCATAGCACGGCAGTTAGTGGGGTGTTTGCAGCAGTGAGATGGGAACTAGCCTCAGTGAAGGGGAAGGTTGCAGAAATTGAGGGGGAGGTGGCAGAGGTTAAGGGGGATGTTGCAGAAATCGAGGGGGATGTTGCAGAGGTGAAGGGGGAGGTGGAAGAGGTGAAGGAGGAAGTGGCAGAGGTGAAGGAAAAGATGGCAGAAGTAAAGGGGGAGCTGGCAGCAGCAGTGATGGAGAAGAGGTGGGTTGTGCAGAATGAGGTGAATGGGGTGAGGCAATGGACGCTGACATTCATGTGATCCTACTTCTCTCACTACCTGTCGGCATTCTCGTGACCCCCATGCCCGAATGCACCATTTTTCTTCATCGCTTCTTCTCCTCCTGTGCACTCAGTGTGCAAATGTCTACCTGCCTCTGCAGCTGCCGCTTCCCCCTTCCTTCCCCCCTTGCTGCCGCTTGTTCCACCCGTCCCTGATGTTGCTGCTTGTCCCCCCCCTCCCCCCGCCTGCATGCTGCCTTACATTCTTTCTACCATCTTGTTGTTTCAATTGTCGTTCTTGCAAATCAAATTTCATGACTATGTGCTCCATCTGTCTCCTCATGTGCACTCAGTACAGCACCTGTCTCACATTTCCTGCCACCTCCCCCCTCCTTCCCCTGGTCCTGCTGCCCCCTTCCCTCGCACTTGCCCTGCCGCACCTCAATGTGCAGCCGCACGCCTTGCATAGTCATGCCTCGGAGGACTGCAGTGGCCATGCTGCTGCTGGCTTTCCTCCTTGGCGCTGCCATCGTGTATTTTGGGTGAGGGGACGTGTTGGTAAGGTATGTCTAGGAACTACCTATCAGATTTATTTGCTTAGAAACTGTAAACCCTAAATGGTGAGCGCTAGAGCTAAACGTGGCGGCGATTGGGTTGGGTTTTGGTTTGGTTTGCAGTTGTGGGTTGGGGAGTTGTCGGTATGGGTTGGGTGGGGCTGCCTTATACATTTGCCTTTGTGATTAAGATATGGGGCCGAGATTATGACCTGCAAACTTATAACAGATTTATTTGGGTCAGCCCAAAAGTTTTTCTCCAAGCGTCCAGCGTCAGAACGTGCGTCTAGAGTGTTGGGGCAAGCAACTGGAGTTTTGACGCTTGACGCTTGATGTCAGAGCCTCAGAGCGACATGTCCAACATAGGTATGCCTTCACATCTGCACGTTCTCCCACACGGTTGACACTATCATCAGCATGTCTCAATCGTGAGGGCGTTCAACTTATTTCCACCTACGCCCCCCCTCTCAACTTACCCATCCTCCTATTGCCCCATTCTCATCTTCTCCCCCTAACCTTCTGTCTGCCCATTCCATGTGTGCTGTCATGTGTGTGTTCCCACGTACTGGCATGTGCAGAAAGAATCCCGGGTCACAGATGGAGAGGGAAGTGGGAGCAGTGAAGTGGGAGCTGGCTCAACATAAGGGTGCAATCAAGGGGCTGAAGGATGCGATGAAGAAGATGCATGTTGAACTGCAAATCGCCAGAGTAGTGGCAGTCATAAGATTGCATGGGAGGTAAGCATATGTTCTAAAAGGCATCCATTGTCTCACAAGGCGTGCACTATTCAATTATTCTTTATCGTCCCTCCTTAATCTATTCCTCCCCTATCCACTCCCGCCAGCGAATCAAGGCAGCATCACACGCGACCGATCTGAGCCTTGGAAATCTCAACGGCCTCTCAGACGGCATCCTTCACCATGTGGCTGAAATGACGCATCTGAAGAGCATCGACTTGCATTACGAACCAGGCTTCTTTTGGTGGATGTCGTCCTCAGGCTTCAGTGCAGAGGGCATCACGCACCTCTTCAGGCTGACACAGCTTGAGAAGCTAGACAGACAGTGCCTTAGAAGGTATTGGGTCCTTGACCAATCTGAGAAGCCTCTTTCTTGATCGAACCAAGGTGACCGATGCTGGTCTGACATTCTTGACACGCCTTCCTTCGCTCAGAATCTTGAGCCTTACGGGATGCAAAGATGTGACGACTGCTGGCATGGTGTATCTGGAAAGGCTGACAGGGCTTCTGGGTCTTTGGCTGGATGGCACGGGAGTCACGGATGATGGGCTAAAGCAACTGGCTGGCCTCACCAACCTGAGACAACTCTTTCATCCAGGTGGAAATTGGAGGCAGTTAGCTGGGTAGTTTGGCAGGGTGTGATGTGTCGAAATATATTTTATATCTTTTATAACTGCTTGTAGTTGTAGTGTAGGTATTATGTTTTGTAGGTCGTGCACCTTCTTTCCTTGCATGTTCTTTCCTATTTGTACCCTTGCTCAATATCGAATCATCCTCTTTGGCCAAACTTCCTTCGATCCTACCCTCGTTACTCTCGTCTCCTACCTTAGCTATGGCTCCTAAGTTCTGAGCGTATGCTAGCTGTTTTAACATGGTTTCAGAGCAACTACCGTAATCACCCGGACAAAACACCCCCCCGTAATAGTACACCCCCGGGTAGCTTGTGCGGGGGGGGTGCTATAGCCGACCTCGTTTGTACTATACCCCCCCATTTTGGGGTGATTCTCTATAACACCCCCCTTTTCTTACGAAACCCTATTATAGCTGTTATCGAGTCAGATTTTTTTCGGGAGGATATGACGAAAATCGCTTCCTGAATGAAATTTCGAGTGCACTTTCACTTCGAATCTACCGAGATTCCCTCCCTTCCACAATCTCGCTGTCGCCATGCTGGCGAATCTTCCGCTGCACGTGGCCCGAGAGGTGAAACTCATATTCTTGCCAAAACTCGAATTCTCGCCTCAACCTGTGATGTTAAAACGACTATTGAAACACCCAAATTGTCTAAATTTTTTTTTTCTTACACAAAAAATTGCCATATATAACCACCCGGGTATTATATAGGATTTTCCGTTGAGAGGACCCCCCCCCCCTTTTTTTCCCTGTGGTTATCATAATACCCCCGGGTGTTATGTCCGGGTGATTACGGTAAGCTCATTGACCTACTTTTTCATGGGCCCACCACTAGCCATGGCGCTCCCCGTCGCGTTTCACGTCGCCGCACCCGTCGCGCCCGTTGAGGCGCTCGTCAAAGCGCTCAGCCTGACGGCCGCGACGACCGCGAAGGCGAGCCCCGTACGGCGCCCCGCTTCCCGTCGTGCTGCTGCCCTGCTCCCCGCCGCGCTTCCCACAGCCGCGGGCGCCCTGCTTCTCGTCGCCGCGGGCGCCCTGCATCCCGTCTTCGCGGGCGCCCTGCTTCCCGTCGCCGCGGTGCCCTGCTTTCCGTCGCCGCGGCGCCCCACGTCCCGTCGCGCTCGGTTCCCTGGTTCCCGTCGCCGCAGCGTCTGCTGTGGGAGGAGGTGGCGAGGGGAAAAGGGAAGGGGGGGGCGTGGGTGGTTGACGCAGGTCCGCGCGCTGCTGCGTCACACCGCTATTCCGCCGCTCGCCTTCCCCTCCCTCTCCCTGTTGCGCGTGCAGCAGTGGAGGGGGTGGGGGTGGCGGGTGTGAGCAACCTGCTGCCGCCCCTCCTCCTCTCTCTCTCACTGCCGCACGTGCCGCTGTGGGGGGAGGGTGAGGGGGTGGCGGAAGGGTGCGGTTCCGGGTGGCGGCTGAACAAAGGGGTGAGGTTTAAGGGGGTGGCTGAAAGGGGGTGTGGTTTAGGGGTGTGGCTGAAAGGGGGTGTGGACTTGGGGGTTCGTAAGAGGGGTTCGCCGCGTGGCTCCCCCCACCTCCTCTCCTCATCCCCCTCTCACCGCCCCTTTGTAAAACGGGGGTTCGTAAGAGGGGTTCGCCGCGTGGCTCCCCCCACCTCCTCTCCTCATCCCCCTCTCCCCCCCCCCCCCCCTTGGTAAAACGGGGGTTCATAAGAGGGGTTCGCCGCGTGGCTCCCCCCCCCACCTCCTCTCCTCATCCCTCATTCACCTCCTCCTTGGTACTTCTCCCCTTCTTCCGCTGCGCACTCTGCATGGTGTACCCCTTCAGGGGGCGTAACTACACTTCTTCCTACAAGCAATTATGGGGGCGTGTCGAAATATATTTTATATCTTTTATAACTGCTTGTAGTTGTAGTGTAGGTATTATGTTTTGTAGGTCGTGCACCTTCTTTCCTTGCATGTTCTTTCCTATTTGTACCCTTGCTCAATATTGAATCATCCTCTTTGGCCAAACTTCCTTCGATCCTACCCTCGTTACTCTCGTCTCCTACCTTAGCTATGGCTCCTAAGTTCTGAGCGTATGCTAGCTGTTTTAACATGATGCTGGAAGGGAACTGAGCTCGTTGAAGAGTTAGACTCTGGCTGTACGGAAAACATAGGAGAGGCGTGGAGGCATGCATGCGATTAGTTACTACCCATCCACACTTTTCCCCACCCTGATACTTTGCTGAAATTCAAGAGATCCAGTCTGGTCGCTTAATGAGGTTCTTAATGGTGCTTGTGCAAGGCTGAATTTGCATGCTGCATAGAGATCAGGTGCATGAGGGAAGGGATGAGTTCACAGAGCCTGTCTAATAATTGATGTTGATGGTACGGAGGTGAAAGTTACCTGTGCGGGATCACGATGAACTCTGGAATAAAGAACCTATAAAGTACATGGAAGCTCTCAAGGGCTGATCCCTTGAGGGCCTCGACTATGGCGTTCCTGCTAATGCTATTGAATGCGTTTGATAGGTCCGCTTGGAGAATTACGGGGTCCTGGTGCGAGTTCATATACGCCCGTGCCGTGTGTATTATGGCCTCGCTGCCTCCTTGTACCGCGACGCAGAACTGGAGCGGGAGGAAGAAAGTCTGCGCTGCTTCTGAGAGTGTCGCTAAGGCGGATTTGGCGGCTAGGCGGTGGAGGCATTCCCCTACTGCTATGGGCCTTGTGCCTCCCTCGGGCTTGGTGAGCGCTATCAGGCGGGACGATGTGAGGAGTGAGCACACCTCTGGTGGGAGGGAGCCACGCATGATGGTATTCGCTAAGGCGTGGATGTGGGTGTTGACTGAGCCGTTTGTGATTGCAGCATCGCGAAGGTGTTCGAAGGTCATCCCAGATGGCCCACCTCCTACTCCATTTTCACAGCGGTTGAGTATCTTGGTGAAGGCGGGTTTTGTGATTTCAGGGAAAGGTGTGGTATCGGGGAGGTTCCAGTCGGTGGGAGTCGGTGGTGCTGGTGGGTGTTTTGATTTTAGTGCCTCGAGCACTTCAGGCGATGGTGTGGCGACTGGAGTTGACTCGAGGGCCAGGATTGCGCGCCGCAGACTTCCTTTGCGTGCCAGACCCTCTGCTCTGGCTCTCGTGCCCGTGTTGTCTGCTTCGTGACGTGGTGGTGGCTGGTTGGATATGGCAGCTACGCTGGCCTCGTAGAGCGGCCCCCATTCTCCTCTGAGAAATTGGCGAAGCCGCAGCTTCACCGCTGGCCAATCAGGTTTCTTCGGAGTCTGCTGGCGAAGAGTTGCGCGGGACAAAGAGTAACAGGCGCCAACCCACTACGGAGTTTGGGTTTCGCGCAAGGTGTAGTAGGGGTGTCAGCAGTGCCATGGCGAACAGTGTGCGAATGTCAGCTGGTAATTTTCTTGCCAGCGGAGGCTGACGACTGTCACGGAGGTGGGTCAGGTCCCAATTTCCCACCTCTACAAAGCGGTCGAGGTCTCTCGCCAGCTGTTCTGGTGAGAATTGGCGGGATTGGAGTTCTGCTGCGGTCAATATTGGTCCTGACAAATTTCTCCCCCCCTGATTGTTGCCGGACACGGTCCGGCGGTGTGTTGCGTTTCCCTGCCTCGACACCCCTGGAGTCTCTCTCCCTTCCTCAGCCGATTCATCTGTAGAGGACTCTACTGCTGGAGGTTGACTCTCTCTCTCTCTCTCTCTCTCTCTCTCTCTCTCTCTCTCTCTCTCTCTCTCTCTCTCTCTCTCTCTCTCTCTCTCTCTCTCTCTCTCTCTCTCTCTCTCTCTCTCTTTCTCTCTCGCTACTCTTCCTCCTCGTGGTCTCCCCCCACCTCCCCGCGCCCTTCCCCGCGCCTCTCCTTCCCTCTCCTCCCGCGTTCCCTCACTCCCCCATCCTCTCCTTCCGCCTTCCCACGCGTCGTCCCTCGCCCAGTGTCGTTTCCCGCGGCTCATCCCCACGAAGAACTGCCCGCTGAGAATCACGTCCGCGATCTACTTCGCGTTGCGCAGATCCTCCTCCGACGCCACGCCGTACCCGCTCATGTCGTCATCGTCGTCCTCGTTATTGGCCTCCGCGTTACTAACACACTCCGCGGTAATTACAGCCTCATTGGTACGACTACCCTGCTCGGTGTTGCCAAGGATTCTTTCTCTTGATCATCCGTCTTCCGCCGTCCCTCCCCCTGCCGCCCCCTCGCCGCCTGCCTCTTCCCGCACCCGAACACGTCGCTGTCTCGTCCGCATTTCCTGCTTCTCCCCGTCCGCTAAATCCACCCCTCCCCACGCCTCAACATTCCGATCCTCTTCCCGAACCTTATCCCAAACCCTTCCCCGTCCCTCCTCCCTTCTGTCATTGAAATTCCCTCTTATTTTTGCCTCCTCCCTCTCTGCTTCCGTCGCGTCATAGCTCACAGGAAACCCCCCACACTTTCCTCCCCGCCAGCCGCTCTCTCGCCCGACGGTCCAGATCTCTCCCCGGCAACCGGCGGTTCCGATCCAACGGCCGCGACGGCTCGAGAAGAGTGAAGAATTCAGGAAAGCACAGCAGACGAAGCGGAGAGCCCGTATCCATGAACAAGCGGCGTGCGGCTGTTGTGGTAATGATGATGACAGATGCTAGGAGACACAGGCTGTGGTGACGAGCGAGTGGCGACTAATCGGATCAGCGCGGGGTTACGGTGACTACCTAAATCGCAGGGATGGATACGGTGAGAACGATGAAGGTGGGGGAGGATGAGACGCGCTGGAATGACGGCGCGAAGGCGTATCTGCGAAAATGTTAGCGCGCAATGAATCGGTGGCGAAGGTGAGAGGTGTTCGCGAAGAGACGCGAGGCGGGGTCTTCCGCTGCGAGCGACGGCTATTGCGCGACGACGGATGTAAGGTGATCGAAAGGCATGGATCGCCATCTATACAACGACGAGGCAAGTCGTCAGTCGTATCATCGCCTTGCGCCGTGACGACAAGCCGACGTGCTGATGACAGTCTAGCTGATCAATCTGATAGCTTCTGAGCAGAGTAGATGGAACTTGCTTGAGGCTGCCTTTCTCCTTTTGAACTTTTGGGATCAGGAATTTCTCAAGGATCTTCCAAGCCGAGTAGATTGAACTTGCTCGAGACTGCCTTTCTCCTGAGGAATTTCATTAGGTCGTTACCAGACCTAAATCAACGAAGCTTGTACCAATACCCAATAGCTCTCGTCACGTGAGCGAAATAGTGAGGTTCAGAAACACGAACACCTCGAGTGCGTAACAAGTGAATGCGCGAGAAAGTAGAGTCCGCCTAGAATTTGTACTCACGGGGAATGGCGTGGTGCGTGATGGCCGACGATTGGCGATTCTGAAAGCGGTGCAAGGGAAGAGAGACAGGGAGATGAGTGGGACTGGGCAAGAGTTATTCTACTTGCTACAGCTTGTTCGGCAAACAACACATACCATAACGCCACCCAGGCTGCGGTGGGAGGTGGAGCATCTAAGTGAAGGCGAGGCACAGATTCAGTCGGCAACTTGGGTAGAGGAGAAGAGGCGACGAGCATAGGTGATGAAACCTGGGGTGGAGAGAAAAGATAGGAATGGATGACAATGGGTGAAACGGGCATGAATTGGTGAGGCACGCATTGAACAATAGGCATATGCAAGCATTGTGAGGGCGAGCGAGCAGAGCAGGGTGACTGGAGAGGGTGAAGAAGATGCATTTTTAGTGTGGTGAGAGCAGTAGGCATATGCAAGCATTTTGAGTGAAGTGACGGCTCACGATATGCGCATTTTTTATCAGCGCAGCTGCTGATTTTCATGGTGATAACACGATGCTGCTCTCCAATTGTAAAGATCTCGTTGAAGGCATGTCGATTTTGAATGGACGCAGGCTACCAAACGTGGCGATTCATCATGGAGACAAACAAAGCGACAAATGACCTTTACATCGCCCAGCTGGAGGAGACGACGCTGGAGGTGGCAGAGCATAAGACGTCGACGATCTATTGCAATCATGTACAACATATTCTTGCCAATCCACCGATGACCGGCGAAAACGATTCGATAATGTCATCTACCAAATGTCTGGCTCACATCGTCAACCTGGCGCTGCAGTCTGCAGTAGGTGTTGTGTCGTTGAAGCTCTTGAAGATGAAACTGCGAGACCTTGCTTCATGGGTGGGCATCTCGCCCAAGCGTTCGGCTGCTTGGATTGCGCACCATGTGACAAATACAGTGCTGCCGGGCGGAACGCACAAGCTCGTCCAGGGAGCCCTTTGAACTGGGCATTGACACACGAGATAACGACGCGTTTCCTACTGGTGAAGCCCCTCTTGAACATGTTCATGATTTTTTACCAAACACAATAGCCTTGTTGTGGATTGTGTACAGCCAAATAATAACAAATGTTGAGGGTGTTGTATCCAGCTTACTACCGACGACCGCCAGCCTTCCACGGCGCGGCCCGTGGCCTCCGTGGGCGGGCGGCCGCCGCACCACCGCCCCGCGCTGCATTGCACCCGACGGCCTTCCCGGGCGCTACCCCCGGCCTCCGCGAGCGGGCGGCCGCCGCGTCCCAGCCCCGCGCCGCTGCCTCGCCGCGCCACGCCACACCCGCTGGCCCTCCCCGGCGCGGCCCATGGCCTGTGCGGGTGGGCGGCCACTGCTTCTGGCCCCGCGCTTAGCCCAAGGGCCCTCCCCGGCGCGGCCCTCGGCCTCCGTGGGCGGGCGGCCGCCGTGCCTCCGCGCCGCGCCCGCGGGCCCTCTCTGGCGCAGCCCCAGCCTCCGCGGGCGGGCAGCCGCCGCGCCCCCGCCCCGCGCCCACCAGCCCTCCCCAGCGCGGCCCCCGGCCTCCGTCGGCGGGTGGCCGCGCCCACCTCGCGCTGAGCCCACGGGCCCTCCCCAGCGCAGCCCTCGGCCGCCCGCCCGCCGCACCCCCGCCCCCACCCCCCACGCCCATCGGCCCTTCCCGGCGCGCCCCCTGACCTCCGCGGGCGGGCGACCACCGCGCCGCGCCCGCGCCCCGCCCGCGCCGCGCCCGCCGGCCCTTCCTGACGCGACCCCTGGCCGCCGCGGGCGGGCGGCTGCCGCGCCCCTGGTAGCCCCGCGTCGATCCGATTAGTTGTCAACCGCCCATCACCGCAGCCTGCGCCGTCTAGCAGTGGTCATTGAGAAATCTCAAAAGTAGGAGGGGATGCTTGTGCACGTAACACGAGTAGACATCGGGTGCAAACGAGAAATTAACAACGAGAGGTGGAAGGGAGAGTGGACAATTAGCCTCATGGCATAAGCAACACCCAAAGGCATGGCCCGACTCCATGGCATAGTAGCATGGCATGTGAGAGGTGAGGGCAGGGCAGGAGAAGCACGCACATGGTCAAAGAGATACTCCTCCAGCAAGTTCACGCCCTTGTCTTGCAGCGCTGATACCATGAACACCCTGCAAGTAGGGGAGGGGTGGGGTGGGGTGGGGTGACGATGGGTGAGGGCATGGACGGCAGTATGGGGCTGTAAATATACAGGGCATAAACATGGTGAAGGCACTGCTAAAATCTACCAGAATCGAATACAGGGTGGTTCAGCACTGCTATGCACTCAGCCTGGACCGTCAACCTTCGACCCTCATACGTCTCAAACGGCCACTCTTACACCACCCTCAACCCACCATTCCCCCACTCCACCACCTCCCCCCATGCACCCAGCTCCCCCACCCCACCCAATCCCCTCCCACCTCTCCCCCCAACTCCCCCCACCTCTTAATGGAGTGGATTGAGCTGAGCTCCTGTGCGAGCGGCAGCAGTAGACGCTTGTCCTTCACCAGGTCCACCTTGTTTAGCACCGCTACGCGCTGCTGCCCCTCCCTCCGCTCCGCCCCCACCACCCCCACCATCCTCCGCACCCGCGGGTCCGGCCTGCAGGGGCGGAGTATGGTGGGAAGGGATGGGGTTGTATGGGATGGGTTTGTGGGATGGAGTGAATTAGTGAGATGATTGGTTTGGATTGAGATGGGGTGGAAACAAAAGAAACATTATGGGATAAGGTGGTACCCTCTCTTTTCCAGGAGCAAGTGGGGGAAGTCTTGGTCCTGGACAAGAGGGAAGGACCGTGAGCGAGGAAGCAGGGGAGAACAAGAGCAACGAAGACTGGGGGATGACAGACAAACAAAGCCCCATGGCCAATGCTTCAGGTACAGCCCTTCTCACCACACCCTACCACCACAAGCACCTCGTACCTCCTGATGCGCCAGTCGGCATCAATGACCAGCGCCACCACATGGCAATGCAGGGCAGCAGACAAGGCAAGCAGCGACCCCTGGCGCTGCGATGCTGACAGGGGCTGCGATGGTAGCGCCACCGTCAGCCCTGGCGTATCGTGAAACACCTGGGGGTCGGGAAGAAGGGGAGAGGGAGGGGGTTAGCGGGGGAAGGAAGGGAGGAGGCTGAAGAGGAGGGACCCCTGCGTGGGTTGCGCTCACCAGTTTTTCAGGCCTCAGGCGCATCAACCGTCAAAGCTCACTAGTTGTGTGGGGCGTGCGCTCTGCTCACCAGCAGTGTTAAGGCGTGTGAAAACTCGAAGCTCACCAGCAGTGTTAAGGCGTGTGAAAACTCGAAGCTCACCAGCTGCGTGGGCCCGGTGGTGCGGATGCCCACCTCCTCCCTCTGTGTCGTGTTGGCCTTGCGCGATACCGCTGATACCTTCACGCCCACCTGCACGCACGGCAAACACGTGAGGAGAAGGCAGGGCGGGGAGGGGAAAGGAGGTGAGTGAAAGGAGGAGATAGGAGGGAGGCAGATGTGACAGAAGAGGGAGTGGGAAGAGGGGGACAAGTGGATGAGAGGGAGATCCCAAATGTGAAGGAAGGAAGCGGTGAGGGGTTGAGACAGCAAAGAAGGAGTGCAATGTAGCGTACCAAAACTCGCAACTAACTAAACCCGCATCTGCTCTTTCTTACCCCCCTCCCCCACCTTACTACGCTTAAACGCTTCCCCTACCGCTTCCGCTCTTCCGGCCTTCCGATCAAAGTCCCTCCTTACCCATTCCCCCCACTCCCACCCTCTCTCACTCTTTCCTCTTGCCCACCCTCCCTCCTCACCCCTTCCCTCCCACCCTTACCCCTCTCTCTCTCTCATTTCCCCCCACCAGTCTGTTCATCAGGGCGGACTTCCCCGCGTTGGGCGCGCCCACCAGCGCCACGCGCGCAAACCGCTGCTTCTCCACCGCCACCTGCCCCTCCGCCTCCGCCTGTCCCCCGCCCGCCTCCCCCAACCAGTCCCCCAAACCCCTGAACCCCGGCCGCCACCCCCTCTTGCGGAAACTCCTCCGCCACTCCTCTTCCTCCTCGTCGTCTCCCCCCACCTCCCCGCGCCCTTCCCCGCGCATCTCCTTCCCTCTCCTCCCGCGTTCCCTCACTCCCCCATCCTCTCCTCCCGCGTTCCCGCTCTCCCCCACATCGTCCCCCGCCCAGTGCCGTTTCCCGCGGCTCATCCCCGCGAAGAACCGCCCGCTGAGAATCGCGTCCGCGATCTGCTTCGCGTTGCGCAGATCCTCCTTTGACGCCACACTGTACCTGCTCATGTCGTCGTCATCGTCATCGTTATTGGCCTCCGCGTTACTAACACCCTCCGCGGTAATTACAGCCTCATTGGTACGACTACCCTGCTCGATGTTGCCAAGGCTTCCCTCTCTTGATCGTCCTTCTTCCGCCGTCCCTCCCCCTGCCGCCCCCTCGCCGCCTGCCTCCTTCCGCACCCGAACCCGTCGCTGTCTCGTCCGCATTTCCTGCTTCTCCCCGTCCGCTAAATCCAACCCTCCCCGCGCCTCAACATTCCGATCCTCTTCCCGAACCTCATCCCAAACGCTTCCCCGTCCCTCCTCCCTTCCGTCATTAGAATTCCCTCTTCTTTCCGCCTCCTCCTCCTCTACTTCCGTCGCGCCATAACTCACACGCAAATCCCCCACACTCTCCTCTCCGCCAGCCGCTCTCTCGCCCGACGGTCCAGATCTCTCGCCGGCAACCGGCGGCTCCGATCCAGCGGCCGCGACGGCTCGAGAAGAGTGAAGAAGCCGGGAAAGCAGAGCGGACGAAGCGGAGAGCCCGGGTCCATGAACAAGCGGCGTGCGGCTGTTGTGGTAATGATGATGACAGGTGCTAGGAGACGCACGCTGCGGTGAAGAGCGAGTGGCGACTAATCGGATCAGCACGGGGTTACGGTGACTACATAAATCGCAGGGATGGTTACGGTGAGACGCGCTGAGGAACGATGAAGGTGGGGGAGGATGAGACGCGCTGGAATGACGGCGTGAAGGCGTATCTGCGAAAATGTTAGCGCGCGATGAATCGGTGGCGTGCGACGATGCGAGAGGTGGAGCTGGCGAAAGTGAGAGATGTTCGCGAAGAGATGCGAGGCGGAGTCTTCCGCTGCGAGCGACGGCTATTGCACGACGATGGATCGCCATCTATAGAAGGGACAGAGGAGTTTGCACGGGAGGAGGAGAGGGGGAGGGAGGTGCAGGGAAAAGGAGAAAGGTAAAAAGAATAGAGGGAGAGGGGGCGTGGTCAGCACACGAACAAGACCAATTACACGGGATTGAGGAAAGAGGCAGTGACCAATTACTAGTATCACTCGCTCCACCTTGGTAGTCGAACATGGCAAACCAAAACGCCACTGAGGTGGCGGAGGAGGAGCATCTGAGTGAAGGTGCGGCGAAGATTCACTGGGCAACTTGGGTAGAAGGAGAAGAGGCGATGAGGATAGGTGATGAAACAAGGAATGAAAATATGGAAGGAATGACGTCGGGTGGAGCGGGCATGAATCGAACACGCAAGTATTGTGAGGGCGGGAGAGCAGAGCAGGGTGTTGGAAGAGGACGAAGGAGATACGTCTTGAGTGAGGTGAGGGGTGGATGATGATATGCACGTCCCACTCCCACAAAGGCCACCAAATTCGCCAATCTGCGCGGATCGGCAGTCGAAATCGTCAATCCGCGCGAATCCTTGGATAAAAATGTGGCCGATCCGCGCAGATCGACGGTCGGAATGTGCCAATCTGCGCGGATCGACGGTCAACATTGCCAATCGGCGGAAATCGGAGGGCTACAGTGTCGATCCGTATAACAGCGGCAATCTAAACGAGGACATGAAAAAGGCAGGATGTGTGATGGTGGGACTTGCAGCAATGCGAGGACGCACACTCATTTTTTTCTTGGCAATGTAGGCTGATTGAATACCCGAATGGTGTTTCTTTGCCCGAATAAGAGCATGGAGGCGCGGAGCCTTATGAAGCTTAGAAGCGAGAGCAGAGGCCAGACGAGAAAGATATCATGAGGATAGTGCGGACAGATACTAGCCTAATCAGTGGTACTCGTGTCTTTGGTGCTTCCGTGAAGAGAGAGTGGGGATGTGTGTTCAGCCTCCATTCACGATATTGCCACTTGGGCCATTCAACGAGTGAACGAAAATGCTGGGCGTGAACCGGGGCAGTAACCATCTACTTTCCATATCCCGTCACAATAGCGAAAATTGATGTTTCCGAAACGCGAACTTTGACGAAAAGCGGAGTGGTAACTGCGACTGGTGTGAAAGGCAATGCAGTCTCTGAACGGGTTGAAAATTGGAACACCCTCACTCGATTCACACCCTCCCCCATTTACTTCACCACCCTGTACCCGATTTTCAGGTCGTTACTAAAGCTGAACATTTAGTCGCTAGGTCCTGTTCACAGCTAGATGTGCGCCAGCAAGCAGGAGTATCGCCGTCCATATTTGATAGCCATAAGTGTCGCCACGTGTAGTGGGATAACAAGCATCGTCAGTTCATCGAGCGCGTTCGACCAAATTCGAAATAGTCCTGTCAAGGGCCCCTCTCGCTGTCTCCCGCATCACGCATTAGCTGTGAATTGCGCTGCCAGAATCTGCCGTTTAGTATATATTTGCCGTGCACCGTGCGAGATCGGGATGCAGGCGATCGACGTGGTGAGACGATCTGAAGGCCGAGAAGAGCGAAGAGGTCGAAGGAGTCCCAATACATGTCGCACAACCATTGAAACTCCACTTGCTTACGATCGACTCTATGCGTTTATGTGCCCTATAGTGGCGGATTCAGCAACGGGATTGCTAGTCAGAGCATAGCAGCAGGCGGTCGATTTGACATCCCAAAAAAGGCGTGGTCGGGTGGGCATGGTTTTTTTAGGGTTCCGAAAGGTTACCTCTGTAATACTTACGGCTCAGTTACGAGAGAGTTCATTTGGCAATAGGCGCTTCGGGAATCTTACCCAAAGTTACCTTGTCAGCTTGGGCGCCAAATGCTCGCGCTCGTGATTGGCTGTCGTTTCATAGTTACGGAAGGGTAAGATTTCGCATCAGATTTGTCAAGCTCTCACTTTGACTAGATGGTTCGTTTATGTTTTCAATTCAGATTCGACATTTGTAAAGGGACCATTGTAACAGAGCTTTTATAATTTTAAACTTTTGTGCTTTATGTCCACCTGTCATTTGCATTGTTATATACATAATTATGAATGCTGGTAGAAAGGAAAATTTATGCTTCACAAGGAGAATGTGTAGTGATCTTATATGTTAAAATATAATCAATCTGTGTTGGGGGGCTGAGAACAACAGTTTGCGTCATTTTTCAGAATGTTGTGTTTCCACTTTTATCTCAACAATTGTCTAGAGATGTTTTTGCGTGCATTTCAGATTGACGTGCTCCATATTCTTATTGGAGGTTCTGCATTTACATCTACGATCTTACATCGAGTTCTTACATCTAGTCCTTACATAAATGTTAACTTGCCTGTCAGAATCTACGTTGGCCACCGGCACCGGATGGAGCATTGGTGCGTCGTCGACCGCGCAGCGGCATCATCGGAGGCCGTCGTAAATGGTCTACGTCGAGCAAGTCGCTGACGAAGGGCACGCGACAACAGGGGAATAGTCGGCAGAGAAGCGGACAGGAGGGGAGCCGACTTCAAGGGAAGAGCTCGGCTACGGCTCGTCGAGTGACATTGTCGAAGTCGTTCGCAAAGCTAGCGACGAAAAAAGGGGAGCCGTCGACGCGGGAGCCGTGGAGCGACAGCTTATCGAGCGACGAGGTTGAAGTCACGGTTGACAAGTCGGCGGTGCGACATTCCACTCGCCCTAACGTCCGCCCGGCATTCGCCAACACGATTCTTGAAGGCGTGCATGCAGACGTTGCATTGCATAAGCTGGATCCCAACGTACACGCCAATACTGAACGACGTTGGGACATCTCAACGATGACCGTCAAGGAGGCGCGGGCAAGCTGGAAGGGCAAGGCATTGAAAATGGCAATGGACAAGGAGATACAAAGTCCCCTCGCCAACGGCACACAAAAGCGATTGCCTCGACCACGCGGCGTCAACGTCATGGATAACCGCTGGGAGCTTACGGCGAAGTACCATATCGACGACACGGTCACCACGGGAAGGCGCGTCTGGTGGTGAAAGGGTTTACCTAGCTCTGCGGTGGCATCCACGACGTGACGTATGCACCGGTCAGTAGCTATGCCATGCTCAAGATTTTCCTCTCTATCATCGTTGTCTTTGAATTGCACATGATGCAGCTCGACATGAAGAACGCCTTCCCACAGAGCAAGCTGGACTGCATTCTCTGTGCGGACCAGTTGTTCTACTACACCCATTGTACGCGCAACCTTTTGAAAAGCTTATACGGACTCTTGCAGAGCTTGTTGCCATGGTCTTCGTCGGTGAACGCCGTGTTGACCGGCGTCCACTGTAGCAAGAGCCCGATCGACGAAGCCTTCTACTTTAAGGTCGGTGACGACTAAGACGCATGTTGGGTGCTCGTCTACGTCTACGACCTTCAAGCCGTTAACATCAGAGCCGTAATGCTAAAGGAGTTGTGCAAGCTGCTGCAGAGCATCGTTGTGCTGTGCGAGATCAGCCCGGTGGGCCTGGAGATAGAGCGCGACCAACCAGCACAGAAGCTGTGGCTCTACCAGTAGTCCTAAATCAACAAGGTGAACAGACGCTTCATCGACGAGGGGCGGTCTCTGTGAAGAAAGAGGAATGAAATGACTAGGAATCATGTGGGTACAAGTAGGAAACCTAGAAGTGTTGTACCCTATAGTATCTACCCCACTATAGCCTAGTTAGACTATAGCATATAAGTTTGACACACCCCCATAGGCAAAGTGGGGGAGAACAAGAGGTCACAAGACCAGTCAAGCAAAGAAATACAAGCTCAGGGTGGATCACAACGTCACCATGCATTCTGAGCACAAGCACAAGGCCACAAGGCCGGTTCACATGCAGAGTTATATATACAAGGTGAACAAGCAGGGCAGTAATCTCAACCTAGCAAGGGTAAGCATGCAGGTGCAGGTATATATAGATCACAGTACAAGCAAAGTCAAGAAGTGAGCAAGTAAGGCCAAGTAGGCACAAGACCTAGCATAGTACAAAAGCGCTGATGATCACAAGGCTGAAGTGCCTTGGTAAAGATATCAGCAGTGTTGGCCCGAGTGGCCACGTAAGCAAGGCGCAGCTAACCACGCTGCTGCAGCTCACGAGCAAGGAAGTAGCGAAGAGCAATGTGCTTCGTTCTGTGCTCCCGACACAAGGCCAGCATGGCCTTTTTGTCTACGTACAGAACTGGAGGAGAACGAGGCGGCTCTCCCAGGTCAGTCAGCAGGTAGGTGAGCCAGCGTAACTCCTGTGCAGCCATGGCCCCTGCGTAGATCTCAGCCTCACAGCTGGAGCTGAGAACAGAGGACGAGCGGGTAGACCGCCACGAAACAGAGCCGGAACCAAGGCTGAAGGTGTAACCCTGTGACGACCGCTGCGTAGCCAAGTCGTCAACCCAACAAGCGTCTGCGTGACCAGTGAGGACCACTGGACTCCGCCCTCCAAGCACGAGCCCCATGCCCGACGTACTGCACAAGTAGCGCAACACCCTCTTCGCTGCAGCCATGTGCTCTGGTCGGTGTCTCCCAGGAGCAACATAGCGTGCCAAGATGCTAAGAGGGTATGCCAGGTCAGGTCGAGTGCAGGTCATCAGGTACATGAGGCAGCCAACAAGCTCTGGGTACGGGCCACTCGGCTCTACGGACTCATCCAAAGGCAGAGCTGAGAGTGAGTGGCGAGTAGACAGAGGAGTGGCCTGAGGCGAGGAGTACGTGAAGTCGAAGCGCTGAAGGACCTGCTGCACCATGTGTGACTGAGTCAGGGTGATGGTGCGGCGTGCTCTGTCCCGGGTGATCTGCAAGCCAAGATAGCTGCGCAGTTCACCCAGGTCTGTGCACGTGTGTCTCTTCTGCAGCTCGGACTTCACGTGGGCGAGTCCAGCAGTGTCAGCAGTAGCAAAGACCAAGTCGTCGACGCACACGAGGATGTAGAACGGCGGCAAAGAGGTGTCGGTGCGTAGAAACAGCGACGGGTCAGCAGTAGAAGGAGTAAACCCAAGAGGCGCAAGCGTAGTTCTCAGTGTGTCGTGCCACTCACGGGGCGCCTAGCGGAGACCGTAGACTGGCCGCCGGAGGCTCCACTGGGTACCAGGAGGAAACAACCCAGTGAAGCCAGGTGGGCGGCGTAGCCAGATCTCCTCGTGCAGGCTGCCCTGTAGGAAGGCTGTGCTGAAGTCAAGAGAGTGAAGCTCGTAGTCGCGCTGAGCGGCTATGTGCAGCAGCACCCGAAGAGTGGTCATCTTCGGGGTGGGAGAGAAGGTCTGGAAGTAGTCAACTCCCTGTCGCTGACGGAAGCCTCGAGCCACGTAACGCGCCTTGAAGACAGGCGGAGAACCCGGCGGCCGCTTCACCCTGAAAATCCACATGCCACTGACGATGTTCGCCCCAGGTGGGGGAACCTCGTCGACGTAGGTGCCTGTGGACTTCCAGGATGCCATCTCTGCGTCCATGGCTGACTGCCACTGAGAGGAGTAGGGACCCTCTATCGCCTCTGCGTAAGAGCGGACAGAGTGAGAAGCGGAGTGAGAAACTCCCACAGCTTTTCCTACACCCCGCCCCCCCTTTCCTGCCACCTTCCACCCCCACCCCCTCCCCCCCTCCCTCTTCTCCCTTACCATTCCATCCCAGCAGGGTCGTGCAGGAACATAGATTCTTTTGCCGCCAAGTCAGAGAGAGCACTCGCGTGACTCGTCTGAGATGTTATCGACTGGCTGCCCACCGCCTCCCCCGACCACGCTCTTATTGTTGTGGTAGATAGTAGTTTCAAAATGATTGTGGCTGCATTAGTTTACGTTATAAAGGGAATACCTTACACCCTGGATGTTGAAGTGTATCCCTGAATTCAAGTTCTGAGTTTAGGGCTTTCCCGGACGCTTAAAGGGTCGGAAAATGCCACTTTCCGGAAATTTCATGGCTGAAATCCGGGGACCTCAGACTCTCAAGTGTTGGCCTGGAACCAATCAACTGCCCTGATGGTAACAACACATGTTGTGCTCAGTGCAAGTAAGAGAACAAGTGCGAGCTCGAAACTCAGATTCTGTAGTCAAGGCGGTGTTGCTGAATTCTTTGATTGAATTTCATTCACGTTAGATTTGAGGGGGGTTAGAGAGACAGTACAATAGGTAAGCATAAAAGTTCATTAGCAACCACGTGCCGCACATTTAAGGGCAGAAATGCTCTACCAGGCATACCTATTAAGCAGTTTCAATGTAGGTCGTGTGAAGGACGTTATGATATGCTCTGCCCTTACAAGGTTCTGTAGGTGAACTACCTTGTACGTACTATCGCGCCGACCTGTACCGAGCTTAAGGCTGAATGTTTCGTCGTCCACTCCTCGCTCCTCAAGCAATCTGACTTACGCCAATGGGTGCATCTCTTGTCGTCGTCCTTCCGTTGGCGCATTCACGTGAAATAGCATTATCAACTGCGCATACACCACCCGTGGCACCATTGCCCGTTTGTGAGCCCTGGTTTTTCATAGAGACATACGAGAACCAGGGTGTGCTGTGGAATTGAGGTGTAGCCCTAGCATAGTGGTCCTCGCACCCTTCTCGGCCAGGAAGGGCTACTGCCGTATGAACCTGCAAGTACATGGTGTTGGAAGAAAAGGGTGGATTACAGTCCAATACACGGCCATATGGGCATCTACTGCGTGGATGGGTGCGGAAACACGTAGGGTCCAGACATACATGTATTTCGTCCACATTCCACCCAGCCCGGTTGAGCGCAGTTGCGAAAAAATCCATGCAATTGCCATGTGGGGATGTGGGGTGATGGCATGTGGGGTAGTGGGGTAGGAGCATGTTGGGAAGTGGGGTGCTGCATGGGGGGAAGTGGGGTGCTGCATGTGGGGAAGTGGGGTAGGAGCATGTCGGGAAGTGGGGTGCTGCATGGGGGGAAGTGGGGTGCTGCATGTGGGGAAGTGGGGTGATGGCATGTGGGGAAGTGGGGTAGGAGCATGTCGGGAAGTGGGGTGCTGCATGGGGGGAAGTGGGGTGATGGCATGTGGGGAAGTGGGGTAGGAGCATGTGGGGAAGTGGGGTGCTGCATGGGGGGAAGTGGGGTGCTGCATGTGGGGAAGTGGGGTGATGGCATGTGGGGAAGTGGGGTAGGAGCATGTCGGGAAGTGGGGTGCTGCATGGGGGGAAGTGGGGTGATGGCATGTGGGGTAGTGGGGTAGGAGCATGTCGGGAAGTGGGGTGCTGCATGGGGGGAAGTGGGGTGCTGCATGTGGGGAAGTGGGGTAGGAGCATGTCGGGAAGTGGGGTGCAGCATGTGGGGAAGTGGGGTAGGAGCATGTGGGGAAGTGGGGTGATGGCATGTGGGGTAGTGGGGTAGGAGCATGTCGGGAAGTGGGGTGCTGCATGGGGGGAAGTGGGGTGCTGCATGTGGGGAAGTGGGGTGATGGCATGTGGGGAAGTGGGGTAGGAGCATGTCGGGAAGTGGGGTGCTGCATGGGGGGAAGTGGGGTGATGGCATGTGGGGTAGTGGGGTAGGAGCATGTCGGGAAGTGGGGTGCTGCATGGGGGGAAGTGGGGTGCTGCATGTGGGGAAGTGGGGTAGGAGCATGTGGGGAAGTGGGGTGCAGCATGTGGGGAAGTGGGGTAGGAGCATGTGGGGAAGTGGGGTGTTGCATGTGGGGAAGTGGAGTGATGGCATGTGGGGAAGTGGGGTAGGAGCATGTGGGGAAGTGGGGTGCTGCATGGGGGGAAGTGGGGTGCTGCATGTGGGGAAGTGGGGTAGGAGCATGTGGGGAAGTGGGGTGCAGCATGTGGGGAAATGAGGTTCACAGCGTCTGTGCAGCAGTCTCTAAGGGATCGTGGAGGTGCACAAGCTCGGAGGAACTTGAGACTAAGCATGTAAGGCAAGCATGAGGTATAGGCAAGGGTGGAGGGATGCGATATCAAGACGGGGAGGGTGGAAAGAATATGGAGCGCGAAAATGTCAGTTGGAGTGGCTTTCGCACCTTCACAATTGCAGTTTGGCGTTTTGGCGTTTGTGAGAAAGCGCTTGGGAGATGGATCAGCGCCGAGCGGAGCGCAGTGGTGCGCATGATGGCGTCATCATAATTTCGATAATTAGAGGCACGGAAAGGTCGCTTGCAGGTAGGAGCATGGGCATGCTCCCAGGTGGCTGTAGAGTACTCCGAGGGAGCGCCGGATCTGCGTATTGCATCTGGAAAGTGCACCAATTGATGCACTTTCACCAGTAACCAGCCGTGACCCGTACGTGGCAGATTCGTCCTCAGAACTCGGATGAGCCTGGTAAGTTCAGGTACGAAAAGCCCAATATTAGTGTAACGAACGCAGTGTAATTGCTATCCAAGGCGTAGTGCTGTCTTCAAAATGTGGGGGTAAAAGGTGGAAGGGGGGGGCGTGGGGAGTGCTGCTTACGAGTTGTGGGCTTACTCTTTTGTGTCGACCAGGTATTGCCGAAGCATGGCTTCAGTGTATCGGGTAGCACAGAAGTATTGGTCGTACCACTTTACAAAGGTCCGCAAAACGGCCATCTTCACTGGAGCTATGCGCATGTTTTCCAAAATCAAGAGTATTACCTGAGCAAACACGTAAAGACGGGGTAAATCCACGGGAGTCATTGAGCCATGGTCGGGTCAAAGCTCAGGGGACACGCCCTGTGTGGTGGCGAAATGCACAATTGGCATAGCTGTTACGATAAAAAAGACGAGACATCATGTGCTAATTCGGTTACGAACTTTGATCATTCCCGCATGTTCGGCAGCGGAGAAGTTTGCACCAAGGTTGAAGTAGTTTCCGTCAGGAGGAAGTTTGAAACCAGAGAACCGCTCGTCCGTGTTCATCACGCCATGCCGCCTGAATGGGCAGGGATAAGAAACACGCTCCTTCGAAATATACATATGAGGGAGATGAGGGGGTGAGAGCGAGGATGGCGGTCCTATCACGGTAGGGGCCGCATGGGTAGGCTTGTGGGGTGGGGAGGTGCAGCATTCAAGTAAAGCATTAGGGTGTACAAACTTTAGGGGCAGTGTGGTGCAGCATGGGGGGGAAACGAGGTAATCACGTAGGGAAGTGGTGTGATGCGTGGGGGGAAAGCAGGGTATGCTTGGGGGAAAAGGAGGCGGGGCATGGGGGGAAAACAGGTTTGACACTTGGGCAAGAGATTGGCAGCATGGGGAGAAGGAGAGTAGGAATGTGAGTAACGGAGGTGCCGCTCGAGGGGAAACCAGAGTAGGCATGTGGGGAAGGGGAATGCAGCAAGAGGTTCAAATATGGTATGAGCAGCATGGGTGGGAGGTGGAGCCGTTGGGGAGAAAGACGTGGAGCAAGAGGGGAAAGCAGGGTGGGAACATACAGATCATATAAGCACGGTACAACCAGATTTGAATAACAATTAGTAACCATGCAACAAACATACCTATTGAATTCTTGGACATCTTCTCCCTGAACGATGCACTCTAGGATATAGAGCCAGACTCCAATAAGAATCGCATGTAGGACATCCGGGAGGACCGCCAAGTATGGGTTGCCAAAACCCTTCCGTTCCTCGTCGTTTCGATTGAACTTCCACATAATTCACTGCAACCAGCAGTTGAACCGTTGTAATCAGGCTCATTAAAACCAGTGGGAGTCACGGGAGGAATGTGAACAGAATAGTGAGCAGCAAAAATGACCGGACAGAAAGGCGAAGGTTGGCTTTTGCAATTACAGGAATATTGTGTGTCCCATAGGATTTTCGATATTCCTTGTCTGGGTCTGCAGCTACCCCTTTTTGCGCCTCTACCGTCCTCCAGTGGTTCAGGGTGGGATCCATGTTGGCCAGGTTCAGCTGTGTCACGTAGCACTGTGAACAAGGACGGTTTGACTGATGTTGCATCGTGCAAGACACCCGGCACCCCTCTGGATAGTCGGTCACCCATGAATACAGCTTGGGCCACACGGTCCATGCTCGCCCATGTGGATCAATCAAAGGCACAGAGCTGATGGGGTGTATAGCAGAGGAGCGGACAGAGAGAATACGGAGGCCGTGAACATTCTTGGAAGAAGTGTGTGCCCGGAGCATGTCGGTAGGGCATGGGCAGCATGTGGGAAGGGCATGGGCAGCATGTGGGAAGGGCATGGGCAGCATGTGGGAAGGGCATGGGCAGCATGGGGGGAACAGAGGTGCATCATGTTGGGATGGGATGTGAAAGCATGTGGAAAGGGATGGGTATCTTGGTGGGAAAGGATGGGCTGCAGATGCTACAGTTTTTATTATAGCAGGTAGGAGCCACACTGCAGCGAAGAACATGTAGAGCTACGGCTATCGCTTACCATTTGCCGGCAGCAATGAGCCTCTCAAGCACAATGTCCGTGCTTTTCTGAAACAGCTCCACCTTTTGGGCTGGTGTCATATCCGGATGTGGTGTTGGTAAGAGAGCTAGAAGGACACGTCCATGGTCTTTCCAGCGGAGCCGTAGAGGGATGTTCGTGCATGAGAAGTACAAAGGCCATGCCTTGAGGCGCTCGTTCCCACTCAAAAGTGTCTCGTCACTCGAGATTATAAATGGACACACCAATTCGTCTTCTGACAGGCCGACATGAAAACAAAATGCAAGCACGTGCGCTGCCCTTCATATGAATATTTTACGCAACTTTAGTAAGTCAGCATAAACCATTAACGTAGTGGGTGCACGTCGAACAACAGTTCACAAGCAGCCCTCGGGCAAAGCAACGAACAACGCAGCAACTGACGATGCTGAAGAAAGTTAGCATACCTGCGCCTCTTCCCAAAGGGTCCCAGTCTCTGCTGCCCCGTAGACGCGCTCTTCGTTCTCGTACTCGGGTCTTGCACGATGTATAAACCCATCACCATTCTTTGGGTCGGCCCATAGGCGTGCCAGAGCCTGATCGGTGCAGAAAACACATATACGCAGTGAGCAGACCGAGCAAGTTAGCAGACCGTGGGAGGAACAGACCGTGAGAGGATCAGACCGTGAGAGGATCAGACCGTGAGAGGATCAGACCGTGAGAGGATCAGACCGTGAGAGGATCAGACCGTGAGAGGAACAGACCGTGAGAGGAGCAGACAGAGAGGGAAGCGGACAGAGAGAGGAGCGGCCAGAGAGAGAAGCGGACAGAGAGAGAAGCGGACAGAGAGAGGAGCGGCCAGAGAGAGAAGCGGACAGAGAGAGAAGCGGACAGAGAGAGAAGCGGACAAAGAGAGAAGCGGACAGAGAGAGAAGCGGACAGAGTGAGAAGCGGACAGAGTGAGAAGCGGACAGAGTGAGAAGCGGACAGAGTGAGAAGCGGACAGAGTGAGAAGCGGACAGAGTGAGAAGCGGACAGAGTGAGAAGCGGACAGAGTGAGAAGCGGACAGAGTGAGAAGCGGACAGAGTGAGAAGCGGACAGAGTGAGATGCGGACAGAGTGAGAAGCGGACAGAGAGAGAAGCGGACAGAGAGAGAAGCGGACAGAGTGAGAAGCGGACAGAGTGAGAAGCGGACAGAGTGAGAAGCAGACAGAGAGAGAAGCGGACAGAGTGAGAAGCGGACAGAGTGAGAAGCGGACAGAGTGAGAAGCGGACAGAGTGAGAAGCGGACAGAGTGAGAAGCGGACAGAGTGAGAAGTGGACAGAGTGAGAAGCGGACAGAGTGAGAAGCGGACAGAGAGAGAAGCGGACAGAGTGAGAAGCGGACAGAGAGAGAAGCGGACAGAGTGAGAAGCGGACAGAGTGAGAAGTGGACAGAGAGAGAAGCGGACAGAGTGAGAAGCGGACAGAGTGAGAAGCGGACAGAGAAGCGGACAGAGTGAGAAGCGGACAGAGTGAGAAGCGGACAGAGTGAGAAGCGGACAGAGTGAGAAGCGGACAGAGTGAGAAGCGGACAGAGAGAGAAGCGGACAGAGTGAGAAGCGGACAGAGTGAGAAGCGGGCAGAGTGAAGTGCCAACGGTGATAGGTGCGGCCAGTGCTAGGTGCGGAAAGTGATAGGCAGAGGTGCATAACACGATGGTTCACTCACCACGACGGGGTCGATGGACTTGACCTTCAACTTCGTCGGCCATCCTTCAACGGTCACCTCCTTGGTGAGGTACTTCTTCTTTTCGACGCCCAGTTTCTCAAACGCGTACTTGTCCACCGCGTGCTTCCCATTTCAGTCTGCCAGATCGCTTAGCTTGAATTTCGGATGCTTTATCAGTTTGAAGAAGAGGGCAATGTCCGTACCACTCAATCCCATCCCTCTGTTGCACAGACACAGAAAACGGAATACTTCCATGCAGGTATCGAAGGGTTCCTCGGGCTCGTCATATTCAGCGAAGTATGGATTTGCCTCGTGGAAGGTTTCTCCGTCGACCAAGCCGGGGTCACGAGGGTTGTGGCGGGTGTCAGGTGGAGGATCCGTCGGCAGAGGGTGCAACGACTCCGCAGGAAACACGGGTTCAGTTTGAGGTGGCACCGGAGTTTCACGCCTGGCACGTGGCAGGGCGTCGAGACGTGCACGTTTGTTACCGCATCCGCCTTCGAGTCGCTCGTGATTTGTCTGGCACTTCTCATCATCGAATGGCTCCCCGCATAACACGCATGAGTGACTGGCCATTATCTGATACAGAGAGGTGACCAGTGCGGTGGGGTTAGCATGAGTTTCGCATGGTAACAAAAACAAAGGCACCACAGCCAAGCCTGCCACGGACGTATGGAAAACATACAAGTATGAGAATGAAGAAAGCCTGCCCTTCCGTCCCGTAGCGCGCATTGGTTTTATCGCTCATGGCCTAATCATTCCAACAGTAAACGAATAATTTGACGTATGGAGTCTGCGAGTGGGGTCCAAGTTAGTTGCAAGTATGCGATAGGATTTACACACCAAACACTGGAATAGGAGATACGAGAGGGAACAGGATTGCGGCTCAGAATGTACGAAGCGCCCGAAGTGTTGAATAAGCATTCAAAATTTGAAACATGCAGGGATTACATGCGAAATGGGTTGCGAGTGCGCATCGCAGATCGAAGCGCGCCTGTTAAAACAACACGCGGGGGTTGAGGTAATTCGATATGTTCAACATGTCATGTACACTGACCAATATTAATTCGTACAGTAAGAGTCTGGAATCGTAACAAACTTATGAGCTGCACTGACGGCACTTTCATCTGATATTCGACGCTCTTGGACTGTGCCTTTCTGCATATAGACTGACGTTCAAAATCAGGCGATATTCAAAAACACATACGAGATTCAGGCAGTACACTGAAGTTAGCGTCATTATCATTGCATCTTTCTTGCACACGGCTTATCAAAATCCAGTTTGCAGAATCACAGGGACAAATCAGGACTGTTAAACAAAGGTATGATTATTGACTGTATCTAAAACCTGAGTTCCGTATTGTTTGCTGGACGTTTCTCAATGTGTCACGAAACTAGCATGATTGCCATTGATTCATATTCTTGGAGAAGGAAAGGGAGAGGGAAAGAGGTATGCTTTCTGACTTTATGGTGTGTGGCACGTGGTATGATAGACAACAATGAAATCACGCCAAAGTACCCATGCTTCTATCAAGCATCCATTGTGACGTGAGATGCACTACCACGCGGCGTCAAGCTGTTCAGTGAGCTCGCAGGTGGCGCGTCCTAGTTCCGTCATCACAGGGTGCTGCATATGTTGGAGTGAATTGGCGCGTATGGCGCCGTCCTATTCCGTCATCCCGTACAGACAGCCATACGCGCCTTTTCTCGCCGACAGAAACCCGCTCCAAAGCGTGCATCATTCTACGTTACTACTGGCCGTCGTTGGCAAGCGTCACGAGCTCTGCAGCAAGTCCTGTTGAGCTTTCGTGCGATGTTTGTTGACATCGTAAGAATCGTAGTCAATGATGCAGCATGTATAGGCGCGACCAAGACGTAGAGGCGGATCTAATTTGGAGGCAAAACCCTGTTTCACAGAGGATGAGCTCATCTTAGGAGCTGGAGCAACATCACCATAGCTCCAGGAATCTTGAGAAAGCGGGACAGCGAGAAACAATTTATGTCGTTTTAGGAGGAGCTATCTGGTGACACACTCTGCGTGGGGTGTTGGTGATGGGCCTGTACACAGAAGCCGAAACGGGTTGGATGAGATGCCACGTCGGCATAGAGTATCACGACTGGAAGCTCCCAGACATTCACCTCAGCCAACCACATGCTTGCACGACGATTGCGATATGACCAGATCCCTCGCAATACACTAGCGTGGTGCACGAACAGGCAAACACCACACACAGAATCCATCATCTGGCCACGAATGCACTCCTATTCCGCTAATGCAACACCCTTGTCTAATACGAAAACAGTATTAGCGTTCTAAAATCAACCCATTGTTCTGATACTCTAACAGTATTATCGTTAGTCACGAACGAAGTGCTTTTGTAGGGTTGATGGTGTGGTCACCACCAGGTGCCTCTGGTCGACCACAAAGTGTAAAGACGGGGTAAATCCACGAGAGTCAATGAGTCTTCCACAGCACACAATGCAACGAACAGTAGAAACGTTGTAATCAGGCTCACTCAGAACAAGGGTGGGTCACTTGAGGAATGAAAACAGAATATTGAACACCAAAAGCGACGGGACAGAAAGGCAAAGGGGTCGCTGTTGCAATTACAGGAATATTATGTGTCCCAAATAAGCTTCGCTATTCCTTGTCCGGGTCTGCTGCTACCCCCTTTTGCGCTTCTACCGTCCTCCCCTGGTTCAGGGTGGGATCCATGACGGACAGGTTCGAATGTATCACGTAGCACTGTGAACAAGGACGTAGCATCTAGTTTGACCTCATTCGCACACCTACGCAGCCCGCGACGATTGTTTGTGCGTTCGATGGCCCGAAACTGTGCAAGGATAGGCCAGTACGCAACATGTTGTCGTTTCATCGTCTGGTTGATATTTTTAGCACCGTTGCTTCACACGTTCAGGCAGTTCAATCAATTACCTTGCCATAGGAACTGGTTTGACCTCATTCGCACACCTACGCAGCCTGTGGCGCTTGTTTGTGCGTTCGATGGCCCGAAACTGTGCAAGGATAGGCTAGTACGCAACATGTTGTCGTTTCATCGTCTAGTTGATATTTTTAGCAGCGTTGCTTCACACATTCAGGCAGTTCAATCAATTACCTTGCCATAGGAACTGGTTTGACCTCAGCAGCCCTTGGCGCTTGTTTGTGCGTTCGATGGCTCGAAATTGTGCAAGGATAGGCCAGTACGCAACATGTTGTCGTTTCATCATCTAGTTGATATTTTTAGCATCGTTGCTTCACACATTCAGGCATTTCAATCAATTACCTTGCCATAGGAACTGGTTTGACCTCATTCGCACACCTACGCAGCCCGCGACGCTTGTTTGTGCGTTTGATGGCCCGAAATCGTGCAAGGATAGGCCAGTACGCAACATGTTGTCGTTTCATCGTCTGGTTGCTATTTTTAGCAACGTTTCTTCACACATTCAGGCAGTTAAATCAATTACCTTGCCATAGCAACTGGTTTGACCTCATTCGCACACCTACGTAGCCCGTGGCGCTTGTTTGTGCGTTCGATGGCCCGAAACTGTGCAAGGATAAGCCAGTACGCAACATGTTGTCGTTTCATCGTCTAGTTGATATTTCTAGCAGCGTTGCTTCACACATTCAGGCAGTTCAATCAATTACCTTGCCATAGGAACTGGTTTGACCTCATTCGCACACCTACGCAGCCTGTGGCGCTTGTTTGTGCGTTCGATGGCTCGAAATTGTGCAAGGATAGGCCAGTACGCAACATGTTGTCGTTTCATCATCTAGTTGATATTTTTAGCATCGTTGCTTCACACATTCAGGCATTTCAATCAATTACCTTGCCATAGGAACTGGTTTGACCTCATTCGCACACCTACGCAGCCCGCGACGCTTGTTTGTGCGTTTGATGGCCCGAAATCGTGCAAGGATAGGCCAGTACGCAACATGTTGTCGTTTCATCGTCTGGTTGCTATTTTTAGCAACGTTTCTTCACACATTCAGGCAGTTAAATCAATTACCTTGCCATAGCAACTGGTTTGACCTCATTCGCACACCTACGTAGCCCGTGGCGCTTGTTTGTGCGTTCGATGGCCCGAAACTGTGCAAGGATAAGCCAGTACGCAACATGTTGTCGTTTCATCGTCTAGTTGATATTTCTAGCAGCGTTGCTTCACACATTCAGGCAGTTCAATCAATTACCTTGCCATAGGAACTGGTTTGACCTCATTTGCACACCTACGCAGCCCGCGATGCTTGTTTGTGCGTTCGATGGCCCGAAACTGTGCAAGGATAGGCCTGTACGCAACATGTTGTCGTTTCATCGTCTGGTTGCTATTTTTAGCACTGTTTCTTCCCAAATTCAGGCACTAATCAATTACCTTGCCATAGGAACTGGTTTGACCTCATTCGCACACCTACGCAGCCCGCGACGCTTGTTTGTACGTTCGATGGCCCGAAACCGTGCAAGGATAGGCCAGTAAGCAACATGTTGCCGTTTCATCGTCTGGTTGCTATTTTTAGCACGTTGCTTTACACATTCAGGCCGTTCAATCAATTACCTTGCCATAGGAACTGGTTTGACCTCATTCGCACACCTCCGCAGCCCGTGGCGCTTGTTTGTGCGTTCGATGGCCCGAAACTGTGCAAGGATAGGCCAGTACGCAACATGTTGCCGTTTCATCATCTGGTTGCTATTTTTAGCACCATTTCTTCCCAAATTCAGGCAGTTTAATCAATTACCTTGCCATAGGAACTGGTTTGACCTCATTCCCACACCTACGCAGCCCGCGACGCTTGTTTGTGCGTTCGATTGCCCGAAACTGTGCAAGGATAGGCCAGTACGCAACATGTTGTCGTTTCATCGTCTGGTTGCTATTTTTAGCACCGTTTCTTCACAGATTCAGGCAATTCAATCAATTACCTTGCCATAGGAACTGGTTTGACCTCATTCGCACAACTACGCAGCCCGTGGCGCTTGTTTGTGCGTTTGATGGCCCGAAAGTGTGCAAGGATAGGCCAGTACGCAACATGTTGCCGTTCCATCGTCTGATTGTTATATTTAGCACCGTTTCTTCACAAATTCAGGTACTTCAACCGATTATCTTGCCATAGGAACTGGTGTGACCTCATCCGCATAACTACGCAGCAGTTGACGCTAGCTTGTGCGTCTGATTTCTTGAAACTGCGCAAGGATAGGGCGGTACGCAGCATGTCTCCGTTTCATCGACGGATCGTGCCATTGTAATAATTGTAACTAAAGTTGTTGAGGTTGGTACGTACATGTAACCATCTTGCAATACAAAGATATTTATGGTTACGAAGTCCAGTTGTTGATTTTGTGTAAATGTTGCGCTCGGCTGGAGCAGATAAAAGCGTGGCTGTTTCTTTTGGCTGAATAACACGAGATTAACTGCTGGGCACGAGAACCAATATCTTGTTGTCCGCTGTTCATGCTGAGAAGCACAACATAATATTTTGTTTAATAACCTACAGGCATTACAAACATTATAGTGATTGCAATTTTGTTAATTGACTGCACATACCACAACCGACACAAACCGATATGGTTTGGCTGCTGAATGGCAGTCGATTATCTGCCGAAGCGGACCCCACACACTTCGTGATACAGAACCAGGGGGAGTTGGTCCTGTTGTCGTTTCTGTACTGTTTATCTTGCTCAACCTTGCTGGCAGCGCCACTAGGGGAGGTGTTCGGTCGTTGAGTGGCCCGCTAATCCTCCCTGTCGTTAAAACTGTGACAACGTCACCTTCGACGTGACCAGTGCAGCGCAACTCACCTGCCAGCGTGTGCCTGTACATCGTCCCTCCAACGATCAAACCCTAGTTGACATCCAGTGTCCACTCCTCCCAGTCACAACCACCCCCCATAACTCTCCCGCAGTTTGAATTCAACAATTTGAAATCGTGCCCAGGCCTTCCTGTAGTCTGCCTAAAGGAACGCCGCGCTAAGGCTTTGCCTGCGAGCCATAAACACTCGTGATCACTCTTTTTATAGCAGAAGTTCCTGAAACGCGCGGTGTCGCTTGAGATGCTGGACGGGCGATCCATAGCTCTAGCGAGGCTGCTCCCGTTCATCCCCCCGCCGCTGCCAGTGTGTTGTCACTGCAGCATCCTTATCTGCGAGCCGCAGCAGATGACGGGTCCTTGCGACAGAGACAGATGCGTTGACGTACCGCGTCGGCTGCTGCTCTTTATCTCGTACTGCCGAGCCGCAGTGACTTCTGCCTTTTACGTACCGCGTCTGCTGCTGCTCATAAGGCCCCAGGGACATCTGCCTTGGCGTACCGCATCTGCTGATGACTAGGCATACCGCAACTGCCTCTGCTGCCTTGTCGTACCGCACCCACCTTTCCTTGAGGCCATGTCTGTAAACTAGGCGCTGTAGCAACAAAAGCAAACCCCTCACGGTCCATAAGAAGAAGCTTACAATGGGCTGATTCCCTGTCATTCATCAGACACCAGCTTCGTGATACCTTACATACGTTCGAACCTCCAGTGCGCCCTCAACAACCTAGCAAAATGGCCGGCCGTCGCCCTGCTAGAGGCAATAGATCGCCCACTCCGGAAGGTGAGCACGTCGGTGTGCATACGCTATGGCGTGGTTGTTCGCTGATTACACCATGCGTGCCTGTCCCGACAGCTGTAACTCAAAACCAGCCCAAATCTTGTGTTCCCTCTGTGTGGCAGGGAGCCGTGGATTTCGTAGCCTCAAAGTGGTGAACAATGCTTCTCCGACCACTGAACAGGCGCCTGCCAACAACGACACCAGCGGCCACGCGCCAGTACCGCGGACGTCCAACCTGCAGATGAACGCAGCTGTTCCGGTTGCTGGCGCTTATGCCTCACCTGCTGCATATGGAACACGTAGCAAAAGCGCGCGCCGTGGGGCAATCACAAACGCTACAGCCGCTGTTGGTGGTTCCTCTCAGCAGGCGGGGCAGCGTCAGCAATCGGCCGCCACTGGTGGTCGTTCCTCGCAGCAGGCGCGGCAGCGTCAGCATACCGCCGCCGCTGCTGGTCGTTCCCTGCAGCAGGGGGGTGTGCATCACTCCTCCGCCTCTGCTGACGGTGCATCACAGCTGCAGGGACCTCCTCCCCTTCCTACCGCCGCTGCTGCTGGCTACTCGAGTCAGCAGGAGGTGCTGCATCACTCCGCTGCTGCTGCTGCCGGTGCTTCACAGCTGCAGGGTCCTCCTCCCCTTCCTACTGCCGCTGCTGCTGGCTACTCGCATCAGCAGGAGCTGCTGCATCACTCCTCTGCCGCTGCTGCCGGTGCTTCACAGCTGCAGGGTCCTCCTCCCCTTCTTAGCCGCTGCTGCTGGCTACTCGAGTCACCAGGATGTGCTGCATCACTCTTCTGCCGCTGCTGCCGGTGCTTCACAGCTGCAGGGTCCTCCTCCCCTTCCTACCGCCGCTGCTGCTGGCTACTCGCATCAGCAGGAGCTGCTGCATCACTCCTCTGCCGCTGCTGCCGCTGCTTCACAGCTGCAGGGTCCTCCTCCCCTTCCTACCGCCGCTGCTGCTGGCTACTCGCATCAGCAGGAGCTGCTGCATCACTCCTCTGCCGCTGCTGCCGCTGCTTCACAGCTGCAGGGTCCTCCTCCCCTTCCTACCGCCGCTGTTGCTGGCTACTCGAGTCAGCAGGAGGTGCTGCATCACTCCTCTGCCGCTGCTGCCGCTGCTTCACAGCTGCAGGGACCTCCTCCCCTTCCTACCGCCGCTGCTGCTGGCTACTCGAGTCAGCAGGAGGTGCTGCATCACTCCTCTGCCGCTGCTGCCGCTGCTTCACAGCTGCAGGGTCCTCCTCCCCTTCCTACCGCCGCTGCTGCTGGCTACTCGCACCAGCAGGAGCTGCTGCATCACTCCGCTGCCGCTGCTGCCGGTGCTTCACAGCTGCAGGGTCCTCCTCCCCTTCCTACTGCCGCTGCTGCTGGCTACTCGAATCAGCAGGAGCTGCTGCATCACTCCGCTGCCGCTGCTGCCGGTGCTTCACAGCTGCAGGGTCCTCCTCCCCTTCCTACCGCCGCTGCTGCTGGCTACTCGAATCAGCAGGAGCTGCTGCATCATTCCTCTGCCGCTGCTGCCGGTGCTTCACAGCTGCAGGGTCCTCCTCCCCTTCCTACTGCCGCTGCTGCTGGCTACTCGCATCAGCAGGAGGACTTGCATCTGCCTACCGCTGCCTCTGCTTTTGATACCTGGCTGCAGGGACCTCCTCCCCTTCCTACCACCGCTGCTGCTGGTTTCGCTGCTGAGCAGGGGGGACTGCATCAGTTTACAGCTGCCGCTGATCCTGGGTGCGTCTCGCATGAACCTCCGCCTCTTGCCTCCGCTGCCGCAGCTAATCAGTACACTCAACAGGGTAGTAACCAGTTCACAACACATGCCGCCACCGCAGCAGCTCCATTCGACAATAGCCAGCCGCCCAGCAGGCCTAGCAGCCCTCCCTCTGCCCATCGTATGGAGGGAATGGCAACTGAGGATGGTCCATCCTCTCCATTTGCGCTGCCGAACCATACTGCAGTACCTACAAGGGGGGTAGTGGCAAACCCTGCACCGGAAAGAGAGCCTGTTTATGTGGCCGCCTTCCAGACTCACCTCGGGGAAACTTTGGGGCCAGCACCACCCACGGGAGACGGTACTGCTGTTGGAAGGGCAGAGTTCGATGCCATGATGGTGGAGGTTAGACGGCTGCAACGTGAGAACCTGACCTTGCAGAATCAGGTTGCAGCATACGGTCGTTCACAATCACCATCCCCGTCATCATCTTCCGATGATGACGACGAACATGCATCCCCCCAAGCACCACCCTCCCAACCCCTAGGTGTCCCGGCTCAGGGGGCGCAGCCGCAAGTGATCCTTGCCAACCGGCGTACTGTGGGAACAGCAGTTGGCGAGGCACACAACATGGGCATCGCTCCGGACTACAACACATTCGCGCCGGATCTCGAACCGTTCGCGACAAAGGTGGCCGCAGCCATGAAGACGATTCCACCTGCGAACGGTGGCTTGTATGTAAGTTTATGTATATGCATATTTATTATGTTCTTGTCGCCCAACATAGCCTCGTTATTTGCTTGTCATGTGCTTGCAAGAACCCCAAACCCGAAACCCTTCTCCCATCACGCACACTGCCCCCAACTATTATCTATGCCCCTTAGCATTCCCACCTCACTTGCTGCCCACCAACCTCCAGCCTACCCGAAACCCCAATTGATGTGAGCGTGATAATCCGTTCTTTGCTAATCTACCTTTCTTCTAACTCCAGGTTGTCATGTCTGACACAATCGAGATCCTTGTGTACAAGACGCCAAATGGTCAAGTGGATTTCTGGCCTGCACGGCAGAGCCTGCTCGCGGCGATGTTAACGGCCATGAAATGCACGACACCACAGCAGAGGTGGAACTTGCTGCATGTCTACCTCTACGATAAAGTGCGCCGCACCTACATTCGCAACAAGCTGCAGGACATGCACAATGAAAATCTCACCAAAGGCCGTTGTGGCGTTATCAACGGCTTCGACCTTGCGATAGCCAGGCCTGACCAAAAAAGGAAAGTTCTTGGCACCTCCTCGGTGTCGTCATTTCTGACGACTTTTAGAGTCGGTAAGAAGCACCTTATTGTGTGCCCTTTACACCACACGCCCTTTGCCCTTTACACTCTTTGGTTGTGCTCATTGGCCCCAAAATGCCTTTCTTGTACCTCAAAGGTGGTGCGCATTGGAGGTGGTGCAGGGCTGCCTCTTCACCTCTGTGGGCTATGCATTGGCTGGCTGGGGTCTCCTCTCAGTAGTGCCCCTACTCATGGTTCCCCCCTGTGTGTTTTTCCCCCCATCCTTTGTCTCTGCAGGTGCGCATTGGAGGTGGTGCAGGGCTGCCTCTTCACCTCTGTGGGCTATGCATTGGCTGGGGCCTCCTCTCAGTAGTGCCCCTACTCATGGTTCCCCCCCGTGTGTTTTTCCCCCCATCCTTTGTCTCTGCAGGTGCGCATTGGAGGTGGTGCAGGGCTGCCTCTTCACCTCTGTGGGCTATGCATTGGCTGGAGTCTCCTCTCAGTAGTGCCCCTAGTCATGGTTCCCCCCCCGTGTGTTTTTACCCCCATCGTTTGTCTCTGCAGGTGCGCATTGGAGGTGGTGCAGGGCTGCCTCTTCACCTCTGTGGGCTATGCATTGGCTGGGGCCTCCTCTCAGTAGTGCCCCTACTCATGGTTCCCCCCCCTTGTGTTTTTACCCCCATCATTTGTCTCTGCAGGTGCGCATTGGAGGTGGTGCAGGGCTGCCTCTTCACCTCTGTGGGCTATGCATTGGCTGGGCCCTCCTCTCAGTAGTGCCCCTACTCATGGTTCCCCCCCGTGTGTTTTTCCCCCCATCCTTTGTCTGTGCAGGTGCGCATTGGAGGTGGTGCAGGGCTGCCTCTTCACCTCTGTGGGCTATGCATTGGCTGGGGCCTCCTCTCAGTAGTGCCCCTACTCATAATTCCCCCCCGTGTGTTTTTCCCCCCATCCTTTGTCTCTGCAGGTGCGCATTGGAGGTGGTGCAGGGCTGCCTCTTCACCTCTGTGGGCGATGCATTGGCTGGGGCCTCCTCTCGGTAGTGCCCCTACTCATGGTCCCCCCCCCCCCGTGTGTTTTCCCCCCCATCCTTTGTCTCTGCAGGTGCGCATTGGAGGTGGTGCAGGGCTGCATCCTCACTTCTATGGGCTACGCATTGGCTGGGAGCCTCCTCTTAGTAGTGCCTTCTCCCCACACATAGTTTCCCCCCTATTGTTTTCCGCCCCCATCCTTTGACTCTTCGGGTGCGCCTTGTAGGTGGTGCTGCTCATTGTCTGGCACAGTAATGGCTTATTCTCTCCTGTTCTCTTGCGGCACAACATGCCTTGTATGATTTGCCCTGAGGGTGTGTTCTATGGCCCATGCAGTGAATGGGTCATTCGGACTACTGACGTGGCATGTGAACCGCTATGGTGTGCCGTTTGCGACAGCGGTTTTTGTCCGAAGCATCGCTGCGTCGTTTGCTCGTCCAGGGCACTCGGTGGTGGTGCTGAAAGTGATTCATATCGCATTTTGGCTGTTCGGGGTGAGTTCTGTTTTGTGTACTGGGTACTAGCTGAAAATCTTTGTCGGTTGTCTAATATATCTTTTTAAGATTTGTGTTTGGGTGGTTCGCAGGTGGAGCACAAACTGAAGAAAGGGACCGACCTTTCTAAGAGCACAAAGGAGAACCGTGACGGCGTGGCAATTTATCACCGTGCCGTCAAGGATTGGGTCAATGCGGCTATTTCTATTGCCAACAATGTGAGGGGGCCCTGGTGGAACAACCGCTACTCTGCTTGGAAGTTTTCTAGTGCAACGAACAGTGTGTTTATCAGCGATGATGGGTTGGATGACTGAAGCTAGCTCCCAAAATGGTATTTAATAATTATTCTGTAGTTATTATTACTGTATGCGTATTGGTACAATATTAGGTACAGTGAAGCTAGGTGTGGATTATGCATGTTGCCTGTAGTAATTATTAAATAAATGATTTCAACATGAATGTGTAACGGATTTATACATTTTTAATAATAAATTCACCTGAACAATGATAATAGCGAATTATGATTTTATATAAACTATTCATGAACAGTGAGTACAGCGAAAATCAGAACTGAAATACATATTGACCAATAATGACTGAACTGAAAAGGTAACATGCTACTTGTATTATCGGAAAATTCAAAAAACCGTACGGATGTGCGACGCCCATCTTCGCGTCAAGTTACCACTACTAAAACCAGCCATTCAGATGCTAAACACTCAAGTTCGCGCACCACTGATGTAAGCGAGCGATGCCAGCAATCACACACATGAATGCATCAGATTTGTTTGACTCCAATCCAGAACATTCATATCTTGCGCGGGAAAATCTCCACCCGTGTGTGAACAAACGAGTGCAATACACGTCATGATTTCTGATTCGTTGACCAATTCAAAGTAAAAAAAGGGTAAGTCTAAACAGGTTAGAGATGAGCGGTTGTGATTCGTCGCGATCAAGTGCATCACAATCGTAGTGTCCCACGGGTAAGTTTTTGAGTGTCATCTGGGTATGCTGTGTTCAACCAACCTGCCAGATACTCGCAGGAAGGTTTTCAGTAACTTTCGCAGCCCCGTTTTTTTGCGATGGAGTGAGGCGAGGTCTAAGCGAAGCCAACCCTCTCTGCGAGTGTGCTGATGGGATCTCAATGCGAGACGGGGTCGGATTACTACGTGCTCGAGGTGTCCACGCGCGGAGCTTCATGTGGCAGTCCTCACGTAAAGGATGGGGCGTAGCATACTATTTGCGCTGCTGTTTGCGCGCTGTTGCTATTCGTGTGCGAATCGCACAGCACGGAACGCGACGACCTCGAAAGGAGGCAGCTGGAGAACGGAAATAGGGTATGAAAGGGATAGCTTTCATTCCATCCCCTTCCAAAATTCCATGCTTTCCGGCCCATCAATCAACTAAGCATAGCTTGTGAAGGTGCGATACAAGCGATGTCATTGCCAAATTCAGGGCCCTATGCTGCGAGGCAAAATCCTCCCTGGAGATTTGGCAAGGAGTGTGATGTAGCAGCAAATTCACGTGCCACTGCAATTCCAATGGTGGCTAGCTCTCGCCACCGCATTGGGCAGACATCGCATCGCTGCATCGTGGAAGGATGCGGGATGATGCAGCCGCCTTCTCAGCTGATGGCTTCCCAGGGGACAGCAGCAGGGCAATGGTGGTGCCAACGCTGAGGTGAGAGAAGTCGAGCAGTAGGATGGAAGGCACCATCGACAGCCACTTATGAATGGTATTCGCCCTTCTCTGTTGCCATCACCCCTATCTTCGTTCTGCTTTGTTACCACCCTAGTACCAGAATCACCACTTCCAATATGCGCCGACAAATCTCAGCACTACTTCCACGTATGCAGTACCACCAGCAGCTATTGTGCGCTCTTCCCCCAAATTTCCTCCCCTCCTCACACTTGCAGTACCCGTCCTGGCCTAGTGGCGAGCAACGCAGCTCACTGCAACACACAGCCTGGCAGGCAGCAGAGGCACGAAGGTACATTCATGCAAGACAATACGTGGGTGCATGCAGGCGAGCAGGGAGGCATGGGGGCGAAGGGCCAGGCAGCACCTGTGGTATAACCTTGTGTAAGCGGTCGGTAGCTTCACATGGGGTTAGCTCATTGCATCATGATCATGTGGGGCTTTTAGTCTCCACTTCAAAAACATGAGGTGAAAGCACATTGCATCATCACATGCCATGTGTGATTGCTCCTCACCTGTCGGCAAGCAGGGCGAGAGCAGCCGAATCGGCGGAAATGAATCACACTATCTTGCTTATTCCGTACATTTCGGCTGCTCGCACTTCTCTCCTTTCCTCCCAGAATGGTCCTTCTGCTGCTCGTTTGCTAATGGAAACGTGAATTTAATCGCTCGTGTATCCCCAAGTGCAGAACCATAAGTTTTTGTCTACCCCCCCCCCCCACCCCCCCCTCCTCCTCCTTGCTTAGCAGTACTCCCGTACTACCCTCTTGCCCTCTCCCCCACTTACTAACTTTTCCGCACCAACAGCAGCGTTCGTACTGGCTGTGAGAGCAGGAAAGCAGAGATAAGGGTCTCTGCTCAGAACTCACTCCAAAGGAAGGGGGACTGAGTCCGGAGGAGAGAGTCAAGGGTTTTGTGAGGGGTAAGCCGTAGGGAAGGAGGTGGCAGGGGGGAGCAGAAGGGAAAGCTATAGGTTGTGAAGGAGGGGAGGAGGACGAAGAGAGACGAGGAGGAGGGAAGTGGGAGGGAGGTGGAGAAGGAGAGGAGGTTGCAGTGGTGGCAGGAGATGATGCGTTTGACAGCAGGGGACAATGCGGTAATCCAAGGGGTCATTATGAGTTGCGCAAGAACATGGGAAGCGTTAGAAACGTCGCGTTTACCGGGTGGGCGGGGGCAGTGTTAGCGTGCGAGGGCAAGGAGCAGACATGGTGTTGGTGTTGAGTGTGGCTTGTGCTCTACGTGTTCTCGATATTGCCAGTTCACATGCGTTTGATTCTGCTTTCAGGAACTGAGGCATTGCGGGCATGCAAACGCAAGAAAATTATCTCCAGCTCTACAGGATGATGTCAGTTTATCTCAAGGCCACCCTGCCCTTGACTACTTGTGGCGATGTCAGTCAGTGGTGGTTTGTGGGTGGAGGAAATCAGGAGGGAGGGAGAGGAGGGAAAAGAGGAGGGAGGCGTAGGTAGGATGGAAGGCGTGAGTGTCATAATCCCAACCACTAGACCACTGGGATAAAAGGGCTTGTTAAGTAGCGGGTCAGTGCGCCCATAACCCCCCAGGACAACGAGCCTGTAACCCTTCCCTAGGATCAATCGGGGATCACCAGTGGACCTCTGACACCCCCCCGCACTGGGATGCCCGAAGTGCACACACTGGGATTCGAACCCGAGACCTTCGCTCTGATACCATGTCAGAATCCCAACCACTAGACCACTGGGATAAAAGGGCTTGTTAAGTAGCGGGTTAGTGCGCCCATAACCCCCCAGAACAACGAGCCTGTAACCCTTCCCTAGGATCAATCGGGGATCACCAGTGGACCTCTGACAGTGAGTGTGACCTTTTTCCGAAAGCGTTAAATACATGCTACTTGTTGTATGATGGCCGAGGAGTACCGTATTTTTTTTTTATAATTCTCAAAAAACATGTTACAATCCTAAATGGGACTTAGCGAAGGATCGTTTCAAGGTTGATCACAGGGTGAGTTGTTGTGGCGGAAGTATTGACCTCGGGTCATAGTGAATGTAAATGATTGAGATTGGTAATAGCATGCATACATCGAGTTTATATAGAAATACAAAACAATGCGGAACGACCTAGACTACCATCATCGGCCGGATATAAGACATATATGTATTATCGTATCTTATACACTAGAAAAAATGCTTGGGTTGTCTTGTATTTGGGACGGTTTAGGGTGTCTTATAAGTCTTATAAATGGAAAATATATATATAAAACTGTGTAACATTTGCAAAGTGTGTAGAAACCACCCGGGGGCCAGATTCATTGAATTCGGCCGAAATCTGTGGTGATGCATGCCTTGCCACCGCGTGAGGAATGCAGCAAAGCTGCCTGTGCTTGCAACATCCCTCCGTGCTGGCAGCATCTAAAGATGCTGCCAGCGGCGCATGGATGCTTCCAGAACGCTGCTGGCAGCACGATGGCAGCGTGAGGGCTGTCATGTGCTGTCCTCTACGAGGAGATTCCTCATAGAGGAGCGGCTCGGCAGCCTTTGGAAGGGGCACTCTGGCTGGGGGGGATAGTCGGGCTTGAGCTTCATTTGGTGCTCAAGAAGGTTGAGATTAGCTCAACCTTTGCTCTAGGCAGGCTCAACCATGCGCAGCGAAGTCCCCGTAGGCACGGCGTCCCCTCGCTCTCACTTCCAAGTGAACAACTACGGGCGAATTAATTCGCCCGGTGATGACATCCGTGTAGCTATGGCGAAGGATACGCGCAAGACGGGATGCTCTACCGCCGCCTCAGGTGCGAGCTGTGACGAAGACGACTGCGAAGAAGAACACGGCGACGACGGCGAGGAGGATTGGCCGGAGAACGACCACGATGACAGCGCGTCGGGGGATGAAATTCTTGCTGGCGACATCGACGACGACGAATGGAAAATTCGCCCGGTTGGCGAGGACGACGAGGTGGAAGAGTGGCAAGTTGGTGACTCGGACAACGATGTAGCTGCGGATGCTGATGGTGAGCACGCTGAGGCAGCGGTGCATGCAA